CAATTTTTGGTGATGCTATGAGCATTACATACAGCCTTGGCTAAAAGTATTAGGCACCCTATATTTTACTTAAAATAAAGGAAAAAACAACTTATACTTTTTGAATTGATTTATTACCATTAAATTACACAAAAAAAAGAAGGAAAAAAACCTTAAAATCTAGTGCAAGCTTAGTACAATCCTCCCTTGTAATGGCATGCCATTCTTGTACTAACGCATTTTTAATGCCGTTTTCGATGTGATGTGAAAGATGTTCAATTGGGTTCAACTCTGGTGACTGCGCTGGCCAATCAAACAAGTCAATGTTGTTTTCAGTAAACCAACGCATCGTAGTCTCTGACTTATGATAAGGTGCATTGTCTTGCTGGAATATAACCCCTCTAAGTTGGTATCGCCGAAAATACTCGTTAGCGAAGGCATAAGCGCAGTTTTAAGCACTTTTATGTACTTTTCGCTGTTTATACGACCTTCGGAAACAAACATTTCGCCAACCCCATTAGTAGCCATGCAGCCCCAAATCATATGCTGCCTTCTCCATGCTTTACTGTCGGTACGACGCAATCTGGATGGTATTCTTCGCCCACACGTCGCCTCACGAAGGTCACACCTGGCGTTCCAAATATCTGTTGAAAAATGAAAAAAAAACACTTTTTTAAACTGCCTTAACTTTTATTATTTTAGTTAAATAAATAACTGACCATGATTATTAATAACAAAAGCAGTAAAATTTACTTACCTCAAAGTTAGATTCGTCAGACCATACCACATTGGCCCAATCTTCCTCAGTAAAATGTTGATGCCGTAGAGCCCATTCAAGTCGTTTTCTTTAAATAACGAAAAATAAGTATGTTGATATTTATTGGTATATGTTGGATGTATGTAAGCTGGGGTTGATCTACTCGAACTCAATTTTCCCTATATATACATACAGATGTATATCTGGTCAGGTCTGTGCGTTCACCCCAAAGAAGATACCATTTGTCGTATCACCTCGGTTTGAAAGCACATCTCTAACTGCCTCAGCCAGCATCGGAATCCTAAGCATCGACATATCGAGCGAAGTCCAGTTTCGGAGTCACTTAGAGGGTAAGGTCATATTGGCCTCGAAGAAGCTCGGTGTGCTGAATAGATCGAGGCAGTATTTCACTCCGGCCGACCGCCTTCAGCTCTATAGGCCGCACATGGAATACTGTTCTCATCTCTATGCAAGGGCACCTCAGTTCAGTTCCCTCTAGATCGCATCCAACGAAGAGCGACTTGAATCGTCGATAGCCCAAACATCTCCGATCGGCTCGATCCCTTGGCGTTACGTAGAGATGTGGCTTCACTCTGCATTCTCTATCGCATATATCATGGAGAGTGCTCCGAGGAATTGTTTGGACTAATATCAGCCGCAACTTTCCGCGATCGTTCCATATGGCAAAATTTTCATCCTCATCACCTGGATAGTTGGCGCTGCACTACTGTGCTTTTTTCGAGACACTTCGCCCCGCATAACCAATCTGTCGAATGGGTTATCGTCTGCGCTATTTCCGGACCGATACGACCTTTAAACCATCAAGAAAAAGAGTGTACCTACTCCTTCCTAAAAGGCCGGCAACGCGTTTGTGACTCCTGTGTTGCAGACGTTCATGGGCGGCGATGGTCACTTTACATCAGGTGACCCATCTGCTCGTCTGACATAAATATATATAGTATATATATATATATATATATATATTTAGTATAGTATGAAATATCCTAAGTATTCAATATTTTCCTGTCTTAATTCCGCCGGGCACCGGCTTACAGCAATAAGTTGACCTCTAATATGTTAGTAGGACTAATGATTAATTAATATGTGGGTCAGGGATGGAATAAAATCACAATTATAATCAAATAATCATAACTGTGACACTAACTTACAAAACCACTGCGACCTATGATTATGATTACTCTAGCGCCAGGCTCGCAAAAGCTGTAAATCTAAAAAAAAAGGTCGTGAACTTTGATAAAAAAAAACTTGGTTTTTGCTTTGCTTAAAATTTTGATGGCATTTATCTTTTGACCAAATACCAGTAGTGATTTATCACAGATGAAATCTTAGCGGCTAAAACTAATAATTTCATCATATGATTATAATTTAAAAGTAGCAGTATATTCCGTCACTAATGTGGGTGTTTGATACGCCTCTGCAAACCCTTAGGAAAACAGATAGATGTCAGAGTATGTATAATATAAACTATAAATGATAACTTCCCACATCGTCAGATCCTGAACTAGACAGCCTATACTATGGCAACCAGACTGCTGATAAATATACTAACATATTATAAACAAATTACAACCCCACACGAAACAAATATTGGCCGGGGCGGCAATCGAATCCACCATCTTCGTATTACTAACATCTAGACGTAATGGCCTGTCGTATGTATGTAGATGAAGTAGGTATCTGCAATACGATTTCACCTTTTAAGAGTTGAAAATATTAAATCTGTAAAAGGACATACTAAGTCTCGATTTTATATTCAACCTTAGCGAGTAAACAATCTCTCATGCATTAGATACATTGACATAGATATAGCTGTTTTATATTCTGAGTTGACAACAGATACAACATCTCGGCGAGTTTTGACCTCACGAATGCTGTATATCAGAGGGCGAGTGCAAGTTTATTTCACATCGCCTTGCTCTCGATGGCGAGCGCGTTTAGCGTTGCGATTGGTGGAGATTTCAGTGCGGGCCAATCGTAGCGCTGAACGCGGTCACCGTGACGATCGAGTAGAAGTGAAATAAACTCGCACTTGGCCCTCAGATGTATTTCACTTTATAAACACTATTCGACTTATCGCGATATTGAAAGGTATTTCAATGTTGCATCAATCGTATGTATATCGATGTTGCTACGTGTGCAGAAGGGAGAGGGTAATTTATGTCTCAACATTAAGGTGCTAAAAAAATTGGCTTGTGTGCAGTACCAGAAAATAGCACTTACTAAGTTTATAGCGCTTTAAGTAAATTTAGAGAGATTTCATTTATAGTAAGTAAGAAAATGCTCGGTTTATTCTTTATATCTGTAAGTCGGCGAAGAATTACAAGGTACTCCATGTAGTGGATTACCGGTTGGATATTTGACAAGAAAATGTCGTTGCTCCCTGAGTATTTTCTCCTTGTAGGTCCTCATTGGGGGAGGCAGTGATTATTTCGGCCAGTGGTCTAAATGTGCCTATTCCTCCACTCGCATAAAAAAGATAAGACAGTGCCTGATTTCGTAGTCTCTGGCTTATAGAATTAGAGACAATGTTTTACTGACTGTGACTGATAGACAAAACATGTAATCCTTACTGGTGACGGACGAGTGCAATAAATCTTCGGAACGGCAAATAATAACCTTCCAGTAGAAAGAAGCGGATATGATGCCTATGGATGCTTTAGGCATCATTGAATATATTCTCACAGTCTATAACCAAATTTTACTTGTAAAAGACAATCGGACCCTCGGGACCGTCAAAAAGAAAACTTTTCTTTCTTTTCCTTAGGTACTGTCCAATAGTTTTACGGTAATAATTTACTTGACCAGTCGGAGTTTGTTAAAAAATCTACTAAACTCAAGCCTATGGTACGAGATCTTAGCAAAATTTAACTTATAAGTATTAAATGCTTATTTAATTTGTTTTGTAGAGAGCCATCCCGGGAAGCTATATGTTTCTATTATTCTCGAGATCTAATGAGTTCTGTTAGTCTTCTTTGGTTATTTCGCGAATTGCGTTAGTATATTATGATCACCATAATTTTCACAGAAAGTACATTTATCACAAATTCTACTTGTCAGAATTATTCGTTCATTACTAATCATAGACAAGACGACTTACGAAAACGATGTAAATAGCATGCATTTTTTTTTATATCACTATCTTCAACTTCCAAGATTACTATTACTAGAAACATGTTAGTGAATTTAAACAACGAAACAAAACCGCCAGATGTACTGCGTTATAAATAAAAACTAGTTTGGTATTTTAAAAAGATCAAAGTTTAAATATTTTCGTGCAATTTTAGGCGAATGTATTATTCTTACAATGACACTAAGATAAGTTTAATGATTACATACTTATGAAAACATATCATATTGCAGTTTTAGTCTTTCTTTAAGAGTAAACTCCCCATACACAAACTCAGTATAAATAAACGCATTCTCTAAGGTTTTAACAACCTCAAGTTTCTCAGGGATAAGAACAATTAAGCGCACAACTTACGACACAAGTGCATCCTGTCAGATGTGTCTTTTTTTTTTAAAGACAACTCCCGCAATAGGTATATATCCTGTGTCGCGGGGGACTTTACAAACATACATGAAACATAAACAAAGAACACCCAGACTCACAACAACAATTTGTGGATCACACAAAGTGTCGTCCCATGATGGGATCGGACCCACAACACTCTGCATAGTAAGCGGCATGGCGACCGCTTAAACCACCACGCCATCCGTGTGTCATGTTTAGACGACATGTCTTATGAAATGACATATCACAAGTCTGCCAACTTTCAAATCGGAATACATATTAATTTACTTACTTTAATCCCCTTGGATAGAAAGATAATAATCTTTTTGTTTTTAAATAACTATAAAGCTATATACCATAAAACAGTACCTGGATAACCGAGCTAAGCTCGTTTTTTTTTTGGTAAAATTTCTGAAAATGAAAACGAAATCGATTAATGGTCTCCGAAACCCCCTTCATACTTTCGTTGTAGGTGTTACCGAGCTTCAGATTACATATAAAAGGTATTAGATGAGTAATATATAAACGTGAAAGGAAATCTGTTTTTTAACTTTTCAGCATAAACCAATTTTGATAAATTTTGGTGAAGAGATAGCCGGGGCCTTAGAGAACGATATAAGTTAGTTTTTGTCGCTACAATGAAACTTGAAAAGAGTGAATTAGGCGACAAAATATTAATTATATATGAAAACGATGTAACAGGTAATCACTTATTGGCTTTCTTTTTTTCAGCAAATGGAAAGGTTTAAAGTTGTTGAGCGGGAGACGAAAACGAAGGCATACTCGAAAGAGGGGCTGGGCGCCGCGCAAAAACTAGACCCTGCGCAAAAGGAACGCGAGGAGATGTCCTCGTGGCTCATCTCGTCTATCGACGCACTTAATTTACAAGTTAGTATGGTTTTTTTCTCATGGTATACCTCATCCAAGAACGCCGTTTACTTTTTAATTATTTTTTTGTTTTTGAAACGAAAACTTGTAAACTTTACAAACATACCTAAAACGGACACAAAGAACACCCAGACTTAAAACGACAATTTGTGTATCACTCAAAGTCATGCGGGTATTGAACCCACAACACTCAGCGCAGTAGGAAGCGGCGAGGTAACCCCTTAAACCACTACGCCATCCGTGCAGTGATTTTTAGGGTTTTGTACCACAAAAAGTAAAAAAGGAACCCTTATAAAATCACTCTCGTGTCCGTCTGTCTGTCGGTGTGTCACCACCGATTTTCTAAGGAACGGGTGGACCTAGCAAGTTGAAATTTATACCAGATACTGAGGTCTATAGTTCCTATTAGGTATATAATAATCTAGGCCCCAAATTAAGACGATAAAAAGATAAGAACAAATTTAGATTTTCGCGAAAACTACAAAAACTTACCTTAATTTTCAACTTTTTTTATTTTTCGGTATTTTTCCTTTATTTGTGCTGTAAGACTTTGCTTGTAACGAAAATTGACAATTCTAGGTCAACCGGAATTACCCTATAGGGTTTGGGTCGAAAACCTATATGGTAGTTCCCGTTAACCTAGAATCACTAAATTTGGCAAAAAGCAAGGTCTTACAGCACAAATGAGGGCAAATTTTGGTACTTACAAATTTTCGCGAAAATCTAAGTAAAATCTGGGTAGGTACGAATTAAGTTCGACTCGCACTTGATGGTTCAATGTTTTAAAGAGTTGCGGATGTGATTCTCATATGAAAAAAAATGTTGTATACCGAATCTGAGTGGTATTTGTATCCGTTTTTGCATGTTTCTAAATTCGCACTTGATAAAGGAATTACAGATTTGTGTTTATTAAAAAAATGTCACCATGTCCGTGTTACTCGGAAAATATATACGCCCTTAATAAAATACGCTCCGCTCAAAGGTCTATTTAGCGATAAGTCAATGCAATGGTAATTTCGAAGGAAATCATGTAATCCTATCTAAAAGTACATTATTAAGAAACAGAAATGCCTATCCCTTGCTTTTGATGAATTAATTATTTACAGTAAGAGTGGGGTAGAGACCAAACCATAGTCAACTATACTAAAACTGCGTAATATCATGTACCTAATACCGACCTCGGTTAATTGAATACGGTTTTAAACGATAAGAAATCGGCCCCGGTTCACATACAAACAAATTATCGACAACATTTGTCGCGGTTCCTGTTGATTTTACTTTATCGGTTGGGTCACACAAATCCGTTTGATTCGCATACTATTTACTAGTCTTTCGACTAAAATAGATGGATAATATGACCTTCGAAATAAACTATTCAAGTTTAGAAGTAATAAGGGTATTAATAATATAATAACTTCACACTTTTCACACGGCAGTCTGATCCCAAACTAGGCAGAGCCTGTACTACAGTAACCAGACTGCTGATAAACACACTTACATAATTTAATACACACTTAAATAACATAATTTTTATTCTAAATACATGCATATTATACGTTAATAACACCCAGACACAGAACAAATTATCCTGCTAATCATATTATACAATTATTTGTCCTGGTTGGGAATCGAACTCATGATCTCCGGCTTAGCAGTCAGGGTCACTAACCAATAGACCAACAGGCTCATGTTAAAAGCGTCTAAGGTTCTGATTGACCTAGTGAAGACCAACAAAAACTAATGTTTGAAACATATAATTACACTTAAATCAAGCTATCAAAACAATAAACTTTGTGTGTTTTAATTAATTACAGGTTGATCAATTTGAGTCTGAAATAGAATCGCTTCTAGTTGGTAAGAAGAAACGATTGGACAAGGAGAAACAGGATCGTATGGAGGAGCTCAAATGTAAGCTAGAGAAGCATAGGTTCCACATAAAAAAGCTAGAGACATTGCTAAGAATGCTTGACAACATGTCCGTAGAAGTTGAACAGGTGGGTAGATTTTTATACTACTCTAGAATTATAACAACTATGAGATATCTCACATACTGCTGGCTGATTCCAAATTAGGCAGTACCAGTGTTGTAGTAATGAGACTACTGATAAACATATATATTTCTAAATACATACGTATTCTAGATAAATTACACCCAGACACTGCCGAATTAATAGCAATTGTATCATTCTCATCACACAATTGCTCATTTGTCCTGGGTGAGAACCAAACCCACGACCTCTCCCTTAGCAGTCAGGATTGCTAACTACTAGAAAAAAAAAGAAAAAAAGTTTGATGTATGTAACATTGGCATGCATACAAAAAATGCATATTATTAGGGATTAACTGTAGTAAAATTAATTATTGCTTTTTATATATGACAAAGGAACATTCATTACACCCAAAATATCTTTTTTATTTCACAAAAAAGAACTATCGACTCTAAAGCCATAGATCAATACACGAAATGGCAACAATCTGTTTTGTCAAACGTCATTACATATTTCTAGGATGTGGTGTTCTCTGTAACAAAACAAAAACACTTAATAATATACGGCGTGCTTAAATTACCTGTAACGTACAACTTGTACGATTAAGGCAGGTCAGGGTCACGTTGCGATGTCTTTATACATAATACCCCACTCTTGTAGGTCGAAACCTAGAGTATTTTTCTGTTAACATATGCTCACTTTTGAACGACAGTTTTAGATACATACTGAATAGATTTATTTCAAACTGACGCCTCCCGCCGGCTATAGGGCAAGCAGAAGCGTTTTTAACGACCACATTTTGCCCACAAGTGTTAAGCCTATTGAACTGTTAATATTCAATATTCTCGCAAAGTAATATGCCTTTTTTTGTCATTTTCAGATTAAAAGAATAAAAGACGACGTGGAATATTATATAGACTCATCACTGGAGCCGGGCTTCGAGGAGAACGAGTACATATATGACGATATCCGCGGGCTAGACGAGATCGAACTCAGCGGTGTCGGACTCCCGTCGTCAGCGACGACAGATAGCAATAATAGCAATGATTCCGCGGGATCACCTTCTAGTATGCTCTCAGGTACAAATTGCAAACATGACTATGATTATTTATTTCGTGTTTCTAACTTTAAAAATGATGAACTTCCATACAACCGTTCATCCCTTATTTTACCACCTTAGGGGGAAGTTTTCCAAAATCCTTTCTTAGTGGCTGCTTACAATGTAGAAAGCATCACCTGCCAAAATTTCAAGTTTGTATCCCAAGCGGGTTAGGCTCTGCACTGCTGAATCACTGACAGACACAACTATTGGATTTATATCTATGTCACTCCTGCCAAATAGTACTCCGTCTCCGTCCTTAAACGTTAAAATCAGAAGTAGTCGAGTAATGCACGCCGTCACATTCGAAATAACTGACTAATAACAATGTACACAAACTTAAAGGCAATAAACACCTCTAGTAATTGTCGAAACATACTATATTAATCGTGAGAAAAGTACTTTAAAAAATGGGTTCTACATGCATAATGAACCAGAATAATCTTTTTTAGAAAAGCGAAAAATTAAGGACACTTGTGTTAATTCTGTTGTTTGAAAAACTAAACAAAAAATCACTAAAAATTAGTTTTCCCTGTCAAATACTGTTTTCGGGATAGGAAGCGTTGTTTGACAGGACTAATCTAATTTTTGTGATTTTTAGTTAAGAGAGTTTTCCAACAATAGCATAGCATCATCATCATCAGCATAGCATCATTATCTTTTATTTTTGTAATATGCGGTTTTAAGCCTTTGAGTGAATATTCAGTCTTCCAATCTAAAATTTAACAAACTTACCCCTCTGTTTGTTTCCAGGTACAAGTCCAGTGACGTCACCGACATTAGAGGTACACAATCACTCGACAGACTCTATAGACGTTGAAAAGAAAAAACGGGAAAAAGACGAAATCATAGCAAAAGTAAGTACTTTTACACACATACAAATAACCAACAGTCACACATATATATCATTAACTTGTTAATGTATTGCTATGTGGAGTTTTGATGTGGATTTTCCAAATTTTGTTTTGTATTTATGGTTAGTTTTGGGTTCTTTATTTGAAAAAAAAGGTTCAGATATATTTTTCGTATAGATTTAAAAGAAAGTATAAGTTGTAAGAACTACTTCTTAAGGTTGTTGGTTTGATTAAAAATAGCCTTACAGATTTTGATGCCACAAAAAGTGGAATGAATATCATAACTGTTTAGCCTGATCAGATGCTTGATTGCAGAGCCGATTACCGCTTTCGCATAGCGATAGTAACTTAAATATTATTTACTTCAAGGCACAACTTATTCCACTATAAAACTGAAATCGTTGTATGTAATTGTGTCTTTTTAATTCAGTTGGAGAGTCAGTCTGTCGGAAATGATAGACAATCAAACGATAATTAAAGATCCATATTCCAGCTGGATATTATTACTGAAGTCAATAATATTATGATTACCACCAGAAGGTTAATTAATTCTCGAAATAAAAGTTCGGTCTAAATTCGGTTTCCATCAACTCAACAGTATTAAACATCCTACGCTGACTTTAATGTGATTATATCATATTGTAACCGAAAATTGAATCGGTAATCTAGCAGATCACCGATTTAATACTTAACTATTTAAAATACCTTTTATTGCAGTTGCGAAATCGAGAGTTGATCGGAATTGACTTTTGACCGAACTTTTATTACAAGAATAATTGGCCTTCAGGTCTAAAATATGATATTTGGTATAAAATTGATATACAAGTGTAGTCAAATAATAGTCTATACGTTCCTAGGTTCAGATAGAGTCATAGACAAAAATTATATTTTCATGACATCGCCTGAAGGACAAAGTTCTCTAATTTTTTCGTTATAATTAAATAGGTTTGACGTTTTATCAAAAGAGATTAAAACCATAATGTTTTAATAATAAAAATTAGGTCTCATTGTAAGAATAGAAGGTAGAATTGTATATAATATGACCTAGATGTTTTTTAATCAATACAACAGCCTGAGTATTTATATGAGTGTAATATACTCATAATTTAACTTGCATGATAGGCTCCGGTAACAAGGCTCCATAACTCATTAGTTGTGGAGGCTTGCTTCAAAAAGTATATGCTTCTAGAAAAATACAGTGAAATAGTACATACCATATAAATATAAGTATTTTGTAATATGTGTACTAATATCCACCTTATTTGTTTAAGGTCTTTCCTTTTGAGGTATTTATCTCCTTTATTTTATCGTCAAAATTAGCTTTTAAGAGCGATCGATTTTGCCCTAGGCTGGCTTGCTATCGAATGGTAGCGGGTTCGAATCCCGGCCATTGAAGACGTGTACCGATTGTACTAATCGTTCAGCTTAGTTGGTGGGGTTAACAAGAATACTCGTTAAGTTTTAAATATAAAAAGTTTCAAAAATCTTCCAAAAAGTTTTCTTTAATTAATAAATAGCATGTATTATTTGATACAAGTGATTCCTTAAGTATATGACTGAAATAATTTGATTAAACTGTTGGTTTTGCATACAATTGTTAGTTTTAAAATAACCGATTATATAAACGTCACGTTGGTGCCTTAGAAGGCAAGTACCAGTGATCCTGAAAATTGCAAATCTTAGATGGAATAAGAATCCTCAATTATGGAAACTAAACCATTCTCCTCCTCTTTTAACAGAAAAAAAATGAATTTCCTTAAAACTCGTTTCCCCACAACTGTGGTTGAAATTCTTAATAATCATATTGGTTGGAATTCTTAAAAATCTAGAATATCTTGAATATCAGAAGGCTTTGGTTCATATCTGGCCTATCACTAACTCCAAACTGCCTACGAAATAGTTGTACCTTTCAGAATAACGCTTAAATAAGATGACTCCTCTTAGGATATTGTTTATATGATATAGGCTTATTAAAAATATTATCGAGTCCGGCTATCTGGCGTTAATTATCACGCTTTCGACAATAACAAGCTGTTGAATTTAACCCTATTCTAGTTTCACAAAAACGATTCTTGTTAGCAGGACTCGCAATAATTATTAAAGTAGTAAGTAGCAGTTCGTGTTTGAGAAAGGAATAGCATTATATGACTACATTATAATTACGTTATATATAATGTGTCCAAGTGTCTTAGTGTTATGTAAAATATAAAAAGTTGCACTTAATTAATTAAAGTTGTTGGCACTATGCATGCCCAAAGAAATACAAATTAATAGTCGAAAAAATATTTTTTAGTTTAGTGAAAATACCAATATTGTACTGATAACAGATTGGAAAAACTACAGAAGTTTATTAGAAATCATAGACAACTTGATAATAAGAGCTTTATAGTAGCCTTAATTAAGACAAATAATAAGTTCAGACTTATTATCTTGAATCATAATTAAAATAATCTAAATATGATATCACTTAAGGTAGAATATGCACGGATGGCATAGTGATTTAAGTGGTCACCTCGCCGCTGCCTGCTGCGCTGAGTATTGTGGGTCCGATCCCCACATGGGACAACACTTTGTGTGAGCCACAAATTGTTGTAAAGTACCCCGCGACACAGGATTTATTTCTAGTGCGGGTAGTTTCAGTTGACTAAAAAAAAGATAAAATATATCAAATAAAAAACTAGGAATTGCTTAGAACTAGCAATATCGGTATACCCTCAATAAGAACCCAAAACCAACCTCTTACTTACTTGAAACAATTGTTGTTATATTTGCAGCCGGTTAAACCTCTGCCGCTGCGCGCGGTGAACGCGAGTGCGGTCAGTATCAGCACGTGTAACGTTAGTTCCTTGCTCAATAACTCCGCAGCATCCACCAATAGGTCAGTCCATTGACTACCTCTCTATACCCACTAAATTAATACGGCCAACTCATACATTAGCTACGTCTTTGTTTGTATAGCGCCAGGACTTCACTACATAAAGTATACTGTGTCCGAGATTACCTTCTCTATAATGCACTGGCTCTCTAAAATCTGGCTTTCAATCTTGAAATACAGTTATAAAATATAGCTAGTGTGTGAAAGCCCTGCTCACACCTAGTTGAGAACACTTTTGATCGGGGATTATTAAACTATAGAGGCTTACTAAACGATATCTGGAGCTCCTTTTAATAATAAATGTCAATTTTTGTAAAAAAAACACTAGAAGTATTTGATTCGAGCATCATCCTAAAAGTTACAGCAGTTGTTTCGCCATTAAAACTGTTCTCGACTTAAAAGTATTTAATTTAGACTATTATTTTTAATTCACAAAAAAATGAGAATAAAAAACAATTTTTAAGCGGTTTTTTCTTGTCATTTAAACACATGCTTATTTCATTTAGAATAACGGCAATATTTATCACAATAAAATTTCCGATTTAACAATGCTGAGCTTAGAATTTTACATTGTTTTTCAAATCTACCGCCCTTCAAATGTAAATTATGACATTTGGCTTACTGTTTGACAAGCGGAACAACACAGAAGTTGCATACAAACGCAGCGCCACAAACTAGTGCCGTCGCAATACGGCTGTAAAATTACAAGCTTATCAGAAACGGCAGTTAGCGACATCTCTTCAAATCTCAATGAAATATCTAGTGTTCGTTTCCCAGCTGACGCGCGCGATGCATACAATACTGATCCCTGCACTCGAAGCAACAAGCTTCAGAGTAGATCACTTGTCAACAATGTTGCACACTCACAACTTATATATGCTGTTATTGATTTTATGTGAAACCTATTTATAAAATGATAGTGTAAACCTGTAGCTCTGTTTCGCGCGCTTGGTGACGATTTGCAGCGTCACATTGTATCTAAATCTGATTAACTATTCCTGTTTTGTGCATACAAAGTAGTTTGAATCTAGGATATGTGAATTATCCATTACAATAAGTCGATGTTTTGATAATATTTTAGGCACTTACATAATATATTGAGTGTTGTTAGTTGGTAGACATTAAATACTACTATTAATTGAATGTCTTAAATTGCATTTATAGAGTAACGAAAATGGTTTTTCGTGTGTAACTTAAAATTTCATAAAAAATTTGTAGTTCCGTCTAAAATTTTGATGTATTACAAAAATTTATCGTTAATGGACTTGAATTTTTCATTCGATATTTCTATTAATTAAATATATTGATTGACACTGTTTAAAATTCAATCACAAAGACTCGTTTGATGAAGTGTTTAGCAATAGAAACGCAGAGTTACCCTATTGGAGTTTTCCTTCAAGTGTTTTTGAATAGACACTAGCTGTTAAAAATATTTCGGACACTAATGATTCATCTGTTCTCCAATTGAAATATATATGTACAGTGACATATGACACTTAGCTAAATTTTATTTTGAAGAGATGTTGATATTATGCCATAAGTTGTGATGTGTAAGTATATTAGTAAGTGAAGTGTGCAAACGAGTGAATAGTGAATTATGTGCAGTATAAACAACACGGGAGTGTCGGGCGCATCGACACCGAACAAACAGCCGCCGCCGCCTAGTCCGCCACACCACCATGTCAGACAACCTAACAACATCGGTGAGTAACACTTTATTAATTGCCAGTTTTATATTTATATTGTCTATTCACAACTTACAAACAAACATCTTATCATTCACGGCTACATTATACCGTCGACATGATGATAAAAACACTAGGCATAATAAAAATGTTATCGGTACTACCAATACCGTACAACGCGTTGTTTACAAAATAAACAAAACTATCTACCGAATGAATGGAACACGCTGACATACTCTGACTCGTTACTAAACCGATTAATCGTACATTGGCATCCCGCCAATATTCGTAAAAGTTTCCTTCAATTTGGCGCTTAGCCAACACTATGACATGGCTCGCCGCTCAGTCGCTAGGCTGTATTCGACGATATCTGTGCCTAACTTTAGAATTATTTAAGGAAAAAAACTTGATAAACAATGGTTTCGCGCGGCAATGTAGGATAAACATGGACGATGGTAACGATATTGTTGTCGAGTGTGTTTCTGTGCATGTTATTTTCACAAAACAAGTGTGTTGGAGTGGTAGTAATAATATCAATATGTTGTGATTTGCGTAGTTTGGTGTTTTGTGTGGTTTCTGTGAAGTTCAATGTCGATTATATAATATTGTTGTGGTGTGCCGTGACTTGACGCAAATCGTAATCGGACTATCACGCCGTTTTATTCGTGTAAGGTGAGCAAAGACCTTAGGTTTTTGCCAATACTTTTAGGTTATAATATCATTTTTGTTTTATGAATATGCAAATCATAATTTTTTAAATCTTTTTTTCATTAAATAGTAATTTTTAAATAGATTCTTAAAGCCGAAGTTGATCCATTAATATGAATTGTTTTGTCATATGGCAAGGTAGACCAAATTAATTGAAATTGATTTGTATGAATACTTTACAGTGTTTTTACTTTCCCTGGCTGTTATGGTCCTTATTGATTTCGGGATTTCACCCAGCTTTCGGAAGTTATAAAAAGAAGAAATTAAATCTTTACCACTAAATTCCGCTTTACTAAAAAAAGAAAAATTAAACAACTGGGTTTTGTCACTAATTTTAAACCTTTTTTGATACAAAAAAGTGAATAATAAGTAATAGAAAATGGGCATACAAACATTGTAACTTCCAAAGATTTAATGAATCTTGAGAGGCTCTATTTCGTTTTAAATGTCATAAGCTTTGTTATTTCAACTTCAAGACATAAAATATATACCTACTGGGTACTGGGGTTTTAGAACCACCGTATTTTTAGCACTTATGTACAGTACATCTGTAGGAAGATGATGATGATTGTGGGTACATGTTTTTTGGTCACAACCTTAATGGATTCCTCACTTCGTGCTTTTAGTATCATTAGTTGAAAATAGTTTATTGATAATACAATTCAGAATAAGTTAGAGATATAGACTAGAAAAAGATTGTTCAATAAATTTGTAGAAAAGCCATTGCCGTGTTTTTGAAGTCGGTTAAAAAGGACATTAACTTGCATCAAAAAGAACAAATTTTCATCACGCGAGCGAGAGGCGGGCATAGCAGCCTACAATATTTTAAACGATATATCTAACGGTTAATATTTTTACTTCGGTTCATTATAGGCATATCGATATCATCTAAAATTTATTTTTTCTTTATTAGTCATTAATGATGTTTATTTTTTCAATAAAACTAAAAAAGTAACAAGTAATTCACATATACTTCAGAACACACCTCTTATTACGTAGCAAAAGACACTACCCTATTTTGAAGTATAGAAAAAACCGTTAATCCTGAATAAGATAATTTATTAAGTTATTGTATTGTCATCGGTCCTTGATAAGTGTGCGAAGTTTCAATTTAATTCGAAATTTGGAGGGGGTCAAAATCACGTTCGAAGATTCCGTTACATACATAAAGACATACATACGTACCAATCTAATAAAAGCGTGTTAATAAGGTACATTCTTAGTAAAAAAATAGAGGCTTTCTTGAATTGCCGTAAACCACACCCTTCAGGACAACAGCACAGCAAAGAGAAGGAAAACTTGATTTGAAAAACCTCCGAAAACACATCTATGAAGCCCCGGTTTGCTACACGATTCAAGGCTTTAAGGACTTAAATCCATTTATTATAATTCAAAGAATCGGTGATTGTCCTTTCGGCCTTAGCGATATGAATACTGTTTGATAATTTCCTACCGTGTGTAAATGCAGATTACGCATTAGTAGTACGTAGTAATACAATCAATGAGTCACGTACCACCTACACGTGTTAACTAATTACATATTATAACCTGTACTGTATGTATACAAATATTGTATTATTGTCTAACTTTTAAATGTCATTGAATCGCTTTCTTCGTGACGAGATAGACTTTACGAACAGGTTGCACAAGCCGTGGTCATAGGCCAGGTTAGTTTGTCAGGCAATATTTATTTGTTATGTACAGTTAATACTTATTAATTGCTTCGGTGGTGCAGTGGTAGCGTATACGACTGCTGTGATGACGTCTCGGGTTCGATTCCCGGGTCGGACCAAATGTTTGTATGATCTGCAAAATTAATTTTGGAGGTTGAGTGTTTTTATGTGTAATATTTATTTATTTACAAAAAAGTATATAAGTATTCCATCAGTCAATCTGGCTTTCACAATACAAGTTCTGCTTAGTTTGAAACTAGATGGCATTATGTGTTAGACGTCCGAAAATGTAAAAATATATATACCTATATATTATTATGTACAATAGCTGACCAGCAAATCTTTTTCGTTCTCTCAAAAGGAATTAATTGCCTCGTATTTGCAATTTTTTGATGCTCCTATTGATGGTGACATGATGTTATATAGCATATAGCCTTCTTCAATAAATGGAATATCCAACACTAAGAATTTTCAATTTGATCCAGTAGTTCCTGAGATTAGCGTTTTATAATGCACGGATAGCGTAATACTACTACGCCGAGTGTTGTGGGTTCAAACCCCACATGGGACGACACTTTGTGTGATTCACAAATTGTTGTTCTGAGTCTGGATGTTTTTGTGTCCATTTCATGTATGTTTGTAAAGTCCCACGCTACACAGCATATATTCCTAATTCAAGAGTTGTTTTTAAAAAAATACACCTAATAGGGACCTTAGACCTCAGTATCTGGTATAAATTTCAACTTGCTAGGTCTACCCGTTCCTGAGAAAATCGGTGGTGACACACGGACAGACGGACAAGAAAGTGATCTTATAAGGTTTCCTTTTTTACCTTTAGAGGTACGGAACCCTAAAAACAAAACATAATAATAGTATAGAATAATAATTATGTAAATAAATTATTTCTAAATTCGTATTAAACATCAATCAATTTAAATCTACAGGTCTTTACATATAACTGTAATACGACACATTTCTTGAAAGTATAGGACGTAATTATTTTACCTATTATGAGTCTTTGCCGATAGGATCTTCTGCACTAATACTTAAAAATTACTAATAAATGGCGAGAGAAACAGTTGACATATTTCGATTGCCAGTAAGTTCTTATTCATTGTCACCAAAGGCATTCACCGAAGTTTTACTGAAAGAGGAATAAATATGTACCATAAAGAATGAATATTCCTCCGCCCCTTGTTGCTCCTTTCCTTAGCAGGCGACACGCTTTTTGACATGAATAAGTACTTTTTTTTCAGAATGCAATGTGCATAGATCCACATAGTGAGCTATATGTATCATATATATATGTATACACAGATTAGTCTCCAGTAATGAGTTACAAAGTTAAAACAAACCCTATACCAACCCGTTTAGGCCCCATTAGGCCAAAACCTCCTATCCAAAGAGAGGCCTAAGTCCAGCTGTGGACTAGTAAAGGCTGTTGATGAATAAGCTACGTGGTGACTAGCGCATTCATAAATACCATCACAAATTATCAATTACTTGTAAAAGTTAAATGCAATTTTTGAATTTAATTTACATAACGCTTTTTCGAATGTTTGTCTAATAAGTTTTATTAACAATGTGTTTCAAACTGTCTGTGTTCAAGAAAATAGTTTTTATTTTTGTGAATGAATTTCACACATCTGTAAAGTCTACAATCAAGCTTTACCTCTTACCAATATTATAGTATGCTGTAAGTCACGGAAGGGTTATACTGAACTAATTGCTTGTTACACCGGTGTTTGTAAACATGGGTTGTCAAAAGGACTGTAATAAAACACGATAATTCCTTTGTTAAATAAGTCCATTTTTTGATCTTACTTTTTAGTAGTCGTTTGCCGTTTCGAATTTTTCAATTTAGTCACATATCGCGGTAAAAAGTAGCCTATAGTAGTCGCTAAATAATGTAGCTTTCCATTGGTCACATAATATTTAAAATCGGTTTAGTGGTTTATGTGTGAAAGCGTAACAAATTAACTTTCACATTTATAATATAAATATGGATTGGCGAGACAAAATTATACCTAAACTTGTAAATATAATAAAGAAAATTATTCTAAATTGATTTAGGTTTTAAGTTATACAACCATACAAAATAATATACCAACCAGATCTCTATATGCACATCTTGTTCTTTCTCTCCGTACAGCCTTAAGTAAATTACGAATAACTGAATAATCACTATATTTCGATTGCGATTGCGCCCTGTCGAATATATTTATACATCTTTTCTACGTTGGATTGGTTATTTCTACGCCCTGTGTCTAGACACTGCCGGCCCCCCTCTTATTACGGCACTGTTTCTATCTATATAAGTTGAGTTAACAGTTGAATAATTACAGACAATATAATCTTTACTTAATTTATTTTGTAATCAATTAATTTCATTTGTTTTAATTGCCTTTACTCTCATGGTTTATTACAGAAGTAGTGGAGAATGGTCCGGTGTCGACAACCCCCGCGCACACAGCAACGCATCTACCGCCCGCGCCAACGCTACCACCTCCAGTAAGCATCTACATTCACGAACATATTTCCTTCTAAAAGACCTGAAATAACAAGAACATATCGTTATGTTCTTCAGACGTCAAAAAGTTCGTCGGTCCCACTCGGATCTTCAACGAGTGCGAGTGAAACGGCGCCGTCGCCGCTCACCGTCAACGGTCCGAGCCAACCCCCGCCGCATCACACACCACAACATGTCGCCAACAAGTATGTATATAGAATATGATAATTTTGATCTGTGTTCAAAAATCCACAGTAATCCCGTTCGAATAGAAGCTCACACAAGCCCTCCGGTTACACGCTTGTGTTTGTAGACACTTGTCGAGGCTTGGCAAGCGTGTAAATGGCCTATGACACACTTTCGTCCCTGTTTGCGAAATACTCGTACGGTGTGCTGGAAAACACGATGAAATATGTTATACAACAATAAATTGATCAAGCACTAAGATTTCCATAAATTGCATCAAGAGGAAACCTAGACATAGGAGGGAGAGGCGAATTCGCGTAAATGAAATTGTAAGAAGGATTATGTGAAAACTTGCCCAGTTTAAAAAAAACAATATCCTATATTACACTACGTTTATGCAAAAAAATTGTTTTAGTTTACGTTTCTTTGCCGACAAAGATTTTAAAAGCAAAACGTTTTTAGTACCCTGTTGATTTGAAAATTTGATGAAACGAAAAAGCGACGGTAAAAAGGGACAAACATACCGAATGGTGAAGTGGTTTGTGTAACGGACTGCTTTTGGAAAGGTCGCGGGTTCGATACCCACTCAAGGCAAACATTTGTGTGCATGAACATTTTCTGTTTGATATATATATAGTTTACATATGAGTTTACAAACAAAAACAAGGATATATGTGTTTATATCAGTTGTCTAGTACCCAAGCTCTGTTTAGTTTGGGACTAGATGGCGTTGTGTGAATGTGGTAGAATATTATTATGTACATTATTTCAAATATTTTCGTCAAAAGAGAAAAAAAAATTAGGGGTATGAAAAATAGATGTTGGCCGATTCTCAGACCTACCCGATATGCACACAAAATTTCACGAAAATCGGTCGAGTCGTTTCGGAGGAGTTCAACCACGCACACCGTAACATGAGAATTTTATGTATTCGATTCATAAATAAGATTCAGCCTGCGAGAGAATGAGATAGATTACAAGTATACAGTGTTTTCTGTAATCTTCGTCTCCTCTATGCACTCACGTGTCTTTCCGCCTGCGTACAACGCAGCCTTCACAAAATGTGCATTTGCATTTGCGTATTAAAATTCGTTGGTTAATTAATTTATATTAATTATTTAACACATTTGTGTTAATTTGACCAATAATTTTTATTTACATAAATTAACTAATATTAAATTTATTAACATTAGTAAATGATTTGTATTGATTTTACACACAATAATATTTGTGTGTGTATATTTTTAATATAATATTTTGACAGTGTCATTATTTTAATCTTTTTATTTAATCAAATATTTTTTCCTGCACTTTCACTTCTGCCGTGTGTGACACACACACACAAACACACGCACACACACACCTTTTTCAAGCAATAAATTGTGACTGTATAAGAATACCATCAACCACTTTTGACAGTTTTCATATATTAATTTACGTTCTTTTTATTTATAAACATACCGTTAAAAGGTTGGGTGAACGTAAACTTGTTTGACTGAGTTGAAAATCCACCCACCCAATAAAGTGCAAGTTATGAAATGTGTCCGTCTGTGCGGTTCCAGCGGGCGAGTGAGCGAGTCGTCGAGCACGGCCACGCTCAGCGCGAGCAGCGCCGGCAGCGCGGGGCCGGGCGCGGGCACCGCCTCGCTCAAGAGCATGGCGCAGGAAGCCGTGCAGCGAGCGGGACTCGACACCCTGCACCCACAGGTTACCCACCACTAGTTTTCTTAAAACACTACTCCCGCACTCTGATCATTCCCTTCACAAACCTTACAAAGAATAGACACGGAAAACACTATATATGTACGTCATTCATGTATAGTTCGTGAAAAAATCGAACCTAAAACCCTCGGCGCAATGTAGTAGCTAGGCGACCACTCTGAACATTCACCTTCATTGCCTAGCCTTTCTCGAAATATGGGATACTCACTACAGCACTAAAAGAGTTTTTCCGATTCGAACCAGTAGTGCCTGAGTCCACTATAGATAAGTGATGACTACACTCTCCCAGAAGAAACTAGAGTTCATTATATAGAGCTAGAATTCCTGTCATTTCTATATCTTGGAGCAGTGTAGTCTCTGTTTTACTAACGACATGTTTGCACTGTTCCAGAACTTAAGACGAGGGGCAGCACTAGCGCAAGCGCACATTCCTCCATTATTAGGCGTCGCGCCGCTAGGTCCTTTACCACTTAATTCGGTAAGAATAAATATAACAACCCTATATTATTTTTACACAATCTTTAAAATATTCAGTGAGTTTAGTTTAAACAGTTTGCCATTATTAAGGCTATAAAAATATATAAATATACTTAATCCGCATTATATAAACCAGAAGAGAGAAGTATTACTATTAATATTTTATTTTATTGTATATTTAGGAGCACCAGCTACAATTCCAAATGCTGGAGTCTTCGTTCTACCACATGCCACACCCGTCCGATTCAGAAAGAACGAGGGTATACCTACCGAGAAATATATGCCAGACGCCTATTTATTATAATCAGGTTAGTGAACATTCTGTAGTCGAGAGGAAAGTGTATACAACGTAAAACAAAGCAGATTTAACGTCAACTCGGTCTCTAACTCCACAATAAAATGATTATCTAGTGCTAAATGTAGTTTCGTGTGACGATGATGTTCTTCCGAGTTCTATAGGGCCATAATGAATGCAATAAATACGGTATGAGGACTACTATATGTACTATAATGTATTTTCCGTCTGGTGACGGATTTAGCATACAGAGTGTCACCACCCCTATTCATCAACCATGGAGCAAACTATGCAGGATAACAGCACTGCAAAGAGAAGGAAAACTTGAAATAAACCCTATACCAACTCGTCTGGCCAGTGTGGTATAGTAGGCCAAAACCTCTTGTCTAAGGAGAGGCCCATGTCCAGTAGTGGACTATGAATGTATTTCCAAAAATAAAACGATTTGCCTAAGATAAGAGATGGGTATATAACATTTTATGACGTTATTCCAGGTGTTGTTACCCCACTCAGACTCAGTAGAGTTCTTCCAGAGGTTATCGACGGAGACGCTGTTCTTCGTGTTCTACTACATGGAAGGGACGAAAGCGCAGTACCTAGCCGCCAAAGCGCTTAAGAAACAAAGCTGGCGGTTCCACACCAAGTACATGATGTGGTTTCAGAGGCATGAAGAGCCCAAAGTTATCAACGAAGAGTATGAACAGGTAATTTTTTTTTCTATTTCACTACTAGCCAAAAAATATTTTTCTGAATTCACGTTGAATTTTTTTTTACCATAACACATTCTTGTATTTATTATGTATTGGATGAGTTTGTCAGAGCTCCTTAGGTAAAGGTATACTGTCAAGCGGCCCTGTGCCTTGTCAGCACTTTATCCAAAGAAATTCTGTATAAAGTATGATACTTTTTGTATATTTCGCAGCGTTTGCCTTGTTTATTCACAAATGAAATTCGAGATTTATGTATTTTCCAGAATAAAATAAATATGTCTCAAAATCATCCAATTGTTTTTATTCTAAGTTAAATATGGTTTCTGACAATGAACATACGTTTTCCTCGTGTAATCGCCCTCCCCTAATGTTGCAGGGCACATATATTTACTTCGACTACGAGAAGTGGGGTCAGCGCAAAAAGGAAGGCTTCACTTTCGAGTATAAGTACTTAGAGGACCGTGACTTGAACTGAGACGAGACAGTGTACAGTAGTGCGACCGCCCGCCGGGCCGCCCGCCGGCCGCGCTGGCCGCGCGTCGGGCCGGGCGCGCGCCGCCAGCGGCCCGCCCCAAGACCTGCCCGCGCCGACTAACTTCATTCCTTCGTCACAGTATTGTAGACTCGCTCTGTGATCCTGCGTCCCGAGTCGTCGCCCGCCCGACGGTTCGTGGGAGGCTCTACCTCGTGCTATGACCGAAACTTACAAACCCGATCTGAGTACTTTAATATGAGGATACGTGTGACTTTGTTGGATGATATTGAATGTGTTGTATGGTACATATTTTTTGTGTGAAATATAGTAGTGTAATGAGTAAACGAAAGACGAGCGGTCCTCGGGCCCGACGGTGACCGGATAGAGACTCGCTTGCGACTTCTGCTCGTCCTCCGACCGTTAGTAATGGGGCTCCCACGCGGCGGTGGTTCGGCGGCGACTCGACTGCGGACCGGATATCAAATTTCACTTAACATTGATCCAATGAATTCTGGCAGTTTGTATAATGGCATAGATTGTGAAAGGACAGACAGGTGTCGAAGCCTGAGTGTTCGTTGAATTACTGTACACAAGAACGAACAAGCGAAAGATTAATGTGATGCAATACGATTAGTTTCAGCCATACGTCGGTTGTTAGTAGCGAAACAATGTGATAATTGATATAGGACACCCGGGACGCGCTCGGACCTAGCGACGGGTCGTGGTCTACCGTTGAACGCAGACGTTTACCATTTATTTGTACTGAGCGATAGACGTAGATATTATGTTGATCATAAAGCTGTTGTTCAACGATCTATCTGACCACGACACTGCGGCCGCTACACCGATTGATATACTATGTAATAAATTATGTTAACGCACATCCTGATCAGTTAAAAATGCCTTAAAATGCAGTATTATTGCTCTTTATGCGAACATAATTTCTTGGTGCCGACTTTCTAATATCTGTGGATCGACAAACTCCTAGCATATGCGAAAATAGTAGCAAATACAAAAATTATCCTTGTGTATCACAAGTTGTAAGATGATTTTTGTACGAGCTACTAGACGAGAGCCACTAGAGGTTATTGTAAACATAAGTACTTAGTCAATAAACTGTCTTCCGTATTATGGGTCCACGATGATAACGAACAAGCCAATAGGCGGCTGCGTCGATTCGAGAACGTCCCGGGTCTTTTGTTTTTAACTTGTGTATAGACATCGGAATAGTTTGAAATTATTTTAAGTGCTAACTGGCGCGCAACACGCTCACATTGCATTTGTGATCTTAATTTTTTGTAGACTGACTAGTTTTCTTATAATTGTGATCGACACTGTCGAGAGTGAATCGGCGAGTGTTGCTGGAACCGATCAGGTTTCGTGCGAGTTGTGAACTCGTTTGAGCGTGTTGCGTGCACGTTAGATACCTAAATATAACTACACATAAGGACCTCCAGTGTGATTTCATTAGTTTGCTAAGTAATACACTTTTTCACCTCCGAATCTATGTATATTTTAGTTAGTGCATTTAAAATTGAACAAAAATTATGTAAGAGCATGCATGTCACACTGCCAATGTATTATATTATTGGATAGTTTATACGGTATACATACATATATATAAATTGTACTTATTTATTGTTTGTGATATATAGCGATGGCTCGGACGAGGTGAAAGAGTATATTATCGATTGTCTATGAACGCGAACGCAATAGTTCTACTGCCAGATGGTGATGCCTTCATCGTACAATGATTGTTATAACACCAAAACATGTTTTCCATTGTTTTACAGACCATAGTGTAATTTTGTATTTAAATGTAAATCATAATTGTTGCAAACGCCTCGCGCAGCTCAATTAGATACGCGTGCCGCTTGTGTGCCGTAGCGCGGTGAGTGTTGTGTGGGGGGGCAGAGGGGGGGGGCATGGAGTGAGGAGGGGGGCGCGGCAGCCCGAGCCGAGGCGAGTCCCTGGTACGCGGTACAGCGCACGATCTCGTTTATTACGTGCGTAATGTTGATAGTTTTCACTTTTGTAAAAAGTCTATCGTGAGAGCAGATGAGATGTGGTAAATAATTTAAAAAATTATCTGTACAGTTCTATTTGTATAGAAATAATAAATAACGATTAAAAAAATTAAAACAACCTTGTGATTTCTTCCTAAACGCTTAGGTTTAAGTGCGTCGGTTTTTACAAGTGCGCGCGCCGAGTTTTTGGGCGGCGCGCAGTTTATCGCATTTCTCTTTTTTTAATTTATTTTTTATAGAAAGAAATGACTGTTTACTTTTAGAATAAACTGTAAGAAAGCATTGAACAATTTTGTTTGGTTTGAGGATTGCTCGGAGTCCCAATATTCATTTTAATTATATCTAATGAAGCTGCACCTAAATCCTTTAGATCTGGAAAGTCGCAGAATCCTTGGCGTAGTGAATTTTACGCAATTGATTATAAACCTTAAACCTTCGGGATTAAGAATCTACTGTTTACAGTAACATAATTCTGAAGTATATTTTGCATTTAAATTTTTTCACTAACAGGTGTTAAGCTTTTAAGGAGGAACAAATATGGAAATTATTATTTATTCTGTGAACTCCAATATTACATAAGGGTGGTTCTACGCGATGCAAGTAGCTTGCGCATAATTGAGGCACTTGCGCAGGTTATTTGCTTTGCGAAAAGGACTATGCGGGTCCAGCGACTCGAGTATGTCTCGACATCCCATACCATCCAGTTACGCATCCATAACCTTTTGCTTCGTAATTGTATTAATTCATCTTCCAGTCGTTAACTATGATAGAATAACATTTTAATAAATGATTTTATTAAAATTTTCGTTCGTCGAAGCATTTTAACGCGATTACTTGCTGAAGCATCTTGCACCGTGTTCAAGCACCCAGTGAACCCTGAACTGTGTCAAATCTGAAACGAGCAAGACGCATACTTGCAACCATATTATAACAACCATACGTGCAAGTAATTCGTGCATGCTACTGACGCAAATAACCCGCGTCTTCGCCCGCTCCAGCTACTTGCACCATGTAGAAGCACCGAAAAAACTAGTGATGTGCCAAATCGCTGTTTTGGTGGGTTGAATCGTCTCGTCTGTTTTAAGGTATTCGAATCATGACTCGATTCCGCAATTCGAGCCCAGTACTCGAGTTCTATGTTTGGTATTCGAATTTTAACTCTAGTCCAGGACTCGAGTCTGGAAATTCGATCCAGAACTCGAGTCTAGAAGTTAGAGTCCAGAACTGGAATCAGTTAGTGATTTTAGAAAAGAAAAGAATAATCGAAAAGGAGTAAACTTCAAATAGCATGTAGGTTTAGAATAATGACACGACGATAAATTAAGCAAACATTTTGAATGAAAATATTTTCAAACATTACGAAAACTTAGAACATACTAAGGAGGTGTCTAGGAACTAGAAATGAGATCAAGTTCTACAACTTCTATAATTTGTTTTTATACTTGTTTTAATAAGCAACATACAGAAATCTTTTAAGAAACTAATAACTTCAGATATTTGTTCTATTAGTTTTTTACAGACTGCAAGTCATTTTAGTTATTAAAAAGAAAATCAATTTATTAATTCAGTACAACCATCACATCTAGACGAATCAAATAAGCTTAACGAAAAGTTTTGAATCGAAACTTGGACACTTAAAAATTTTGGCGTTCGAAAGCTGTCTTCAAAGTCGAATTTTAGTGGCTGGAATGCATAAATACTTTAAAGCTATTTTGTATAGACCGCTGTTGGTGACTGCGAAGTTCTCAAAATGTAAGCTTGGCTTTTCTATCCAAATACGGTAGCTCTGCTCTACATTCTATTTCTGTTGATAATTGCTGATGTTGAGGGGTTTTCACGTCGTTCCTTCATTACTCTTAGGGTCTTTTCCGAAAGCTTTGATTTCCTGCCCATACGCTGCATTTTACAAAATCTCGTACCTTCGTCAATGAGGATCCGAAGTCCGAACCATATTTTTTGAGGTTTTGGTTTACGTCTGTTGTGGTTTCCACGCCAACGAATGGATTTCCAGATTTGACTGCAACTTTTTGGTCATGGTTTGGAGCAGAGTTAGTCGGAGCCTCATTGTCAAACGGACACGTTCAGCCTTATAGTCGATATTCAGAGAGCCTCGGACAAATCGGTAATCGCTATTAAACCTGTTGAGCACAGAGACGTCTCTGAATATGTGCTTCCTGACCGTCATGATGAATTCGATCTCAGTTTTGGTCATAACGTCGGGGCTTTCCACACCACGTTCACCTCCTTTGGGGTTGTATCTTGAAGAACTCCCACTTTAGCGTTGAAATCACTCATAACAACGTTGTAGTGGGTCTTAATGGTAAAGTGGAGGGCCCTGGATGTCATCGAAATTAATTTCTCTACCTCGTTATCCGAGTGTGCCGAGGTCGGTGCGTACACTTGCTCGACCTTGAGGCTATATACCTCTCGGTGAGCTTGACAATGGGGTACGCTACCCTGTTCGACACACTAGACATTTCCACAACGCTGTCAGACAGACTTATTTACCAGAAACTCAACGCCACCTTGGGATTTTTGTTCTCATAAGTAAATGATAAATGATTTTATTTCTGTAAGTAAAATCTTTTCAGATATTTTTTATTCGGACTTTACAGCTTGAAGGAGCCGGCATTTTCTAAGGCCGAAACAAACCACTAAGGTGTCTGGTTTTTTCCGTAAACAAAGTAAACTGTAAACAAATAGTGTAAAAAAAAACTGCGAGTACAGTATAGAATCTTGGTCTCCCTCGCGGCAGTACAATAGGTGGCCTGACTCCAGGGTTACGGTGTCCTCCCCCTCTCTTCGGACTTGAGATAACCCCAGGATATGCCACTAAATCTTCCCAAGTTGCTCCAGATGTGAGTCTAGCCGTAACGAGCATCCGTTGTAGGTAGCTGGGATCAGTCGGTTTTGGTGACCGCTCGTAGGCCAGATTCTTCGCGCCCCCTGCCATGCCGTTACGGTGGTCGCCCCATGACCAGGAATAGCGGGGCCGCCGGGAATTGGCGGCCTTTGTTGCGTCTTCATAGGGAGGTTTGCCCTTAATCACCACGCTAGGCAGGCGGATCTACTATCGCATGGCGTATATGGTGGTTGGCAGCGATAGGCTTGTGTAAGTGAGCCTAAAGTTGTAGTTTGCATATGTTGCATGGTAGTGTACTTTAGTCGATACTAGATGGCGCTGTCCTCCACATTCCATACAATCCTATGGCGCAACAGTAAAACCATAAAAGTATTAAAGGCTTTTTAATTTGTCGGCATATTTTAAATGAAAATGACTGTAACAATGTGGAAAACCTTTGTTTTCTTTTTCTCTTTTTTAAGTTGAAGATAATAATAATTCATGATTAAATTAGTGATAAAAAGTGGAGCTTATTACAATTTATCATTTATATAGGTCCATTGATGTCGGTGGTACATTTAAAGATAATTAATAAATCCTCGTATTCTATAAACTTAACTTTTTTAATGGAATAGGACGGGAAACAAAGATGGGTCACCTGAAGCCCAAGTGTTGGTTTATTTACAACTCGCTCTCGACAGCAAGCGCGTTCCGTGTTGCGATTGGTGCAGATTTCAATGCGGGCCAATCGCAAAGCCGGACGCGGTCACAGTAACGATCGAGTAGATGTGAAATAAACCCACACTTGGGCCTCTGATGGTTAGTGATTACTGTCGCCCATGGATACCTGATGGCGTCTCTTTTATCTGTAATGCTCTAAATCAGAGATTCCCTAACTATTTTGGGCAAGAGACCCCCTTTCCAAAATTAACTGATACCTCAGACCCCTATAGCCAAGTTATTTTAAAAATTCTCTCTCAGTTTTTCCTATCGATACAAAATACTTACCAATTTAAAAAAAAATGCCGTTGGTTAAGTGAGTTAACTTGACATTTTTTCATCAATATTTAACAAAATAAATAGACAAGTCAGCCTTATAACAAGTTATACAGTAACTTAAAAGTTTCAAATAAGAACTTGTGTCTTAGGTCGATTTTCAGACCTCATCGACCCTCAAAATCTGTTTTCGTTTATGTCGACCCCTGGGAAACCGATTGCAACCCCAAGGGGTCGATATCGACCACTTTGGAAATCCCAGCTTTAACTAGTTTCTGCATTTGTTCAAATAAAACTACTCATTACAAAAATATATAATATTTATTAACGTCGCCTCTTGCCACCATGTCTGTTTTTCCCCTTATTTCCCTTGAGTCGTCGCCGCACCCCAGCAGCCTCCTCGGTGTCGTCGTCAGAGTCCTCCGCACCGCGTTTTCTTCCTTTTGTATTCTTCTTGTCTTCTAACTCTTTCATTTCCTAATATAAAATAATGCATTATTACAGTTAATCGAATCTCGAATCGATGATATTCAAGACATTTTTTGGAGGTTAACAAAGACCGTAAGAAAAGGTTTTATTGTGATGAAAGCCAATAATAAATTAGGGAAAACATGTGTGGGAAAAGATGTACGGCAAGGAGACTTCTATTTTTAGCTGAAATGTGTAGAATCCTGTGTAAATCCTAGTTGGTGCCCGCGACTTCGATCGCGTGGAACATGAAAAGCACTGACTCAGTGGTTTCAATTCTCGGACCGGGCAAAATTTTATAGGGTTTTTCTGAGAGAAAAATAGCTTAAGTTACTCCTTATATATACAGCTACCTGATAGTAAAATATTATCAAAATCGGTTCACCCGTTTTGAAGATAACCCGGCACAAACAGACAGACAGTCAAAAAATATTTAAACTGGTTTTTGGGCATAGGTATAGTTCAAATAACCGTGTAAGCCATGTATAGCCATGAATATGTCACAAAAAAATTGGGTATTGTTGCATTATGTATCATGCAGCATTATTAACTTATTATACTGTGGCGAGTTTCATAATCATCATTTTTCTGACCTTTTATCAAAATCGTTTGAGTCGGCGCAATGTAATTGTAACATTGCAAAAAAAAGTAGGCCGATTTTTTGTTACCAGTCGACTCCAACCCTCCTTGGAAATGTAATCACAATTGGACGGGAGAATAGAAGAAGATAAAATGAGGTAAGGTGAACAGATAGAGGGAGGGAGCTTTCGTCTTGAGTGGAACATAAAATTAAGACTGCAGTTAGTAGCAGTGTGTGTTTGTTATGTATGCCAATACATGTATATTATGATTGTGATGTGATGAAAGTGAGTTTGTTTGTTTGTTACGCTTTAACCACTAAACCGATTATAAAAATTATTTCACCTATGGACAGCTACATTATCAGCGAGTAGGTATATATTGTGTACATTTAAATATTTTTTCTACATCACTAATAAGCCACTATTATGTTTTAAACCTGTAATGTTCATTGTAGAGTTTGCTTTCAAAAGTTTTACGACCAATGTACTCACAATCTTTGTAAGTCGTTGTGCTTCTGCGACCCTCTCCTGCAGGACCATGACTTCGCTCTCTTCCGTCTTATAGAGAGGTAGTTGCTTCCCGATCAGCTGTTCGATGCGCTGGTACAGTTCCACGTCATACTGTAATATGAACAGTCTTAAATAAATAAGGAGTTCCTTGGAGTTTCAAACGCGTTTAACGATTACTGCTCCGCTCCTCTTAGCGTAATATATGTTTCCGATTGATAGTCCCACAGTTTAGCAGGTTTTCCCTGTTTTTTTTTTGTAATATGGACGTATTATGTTATTTATAAGATACTTATAAAAAGTACTGTAAGACCCAGAACATTCAGCGTAGTAGTAAGCGGCGTGGCGACCGCTTAAACCACTACGCCACCTGTGCAGTCAAATTTTACATATTACATCCTTGTACCACTAAGTCTTACTAACAGATTGTTCCAGGAATAGTTTAAGATAGATTGACTTGTAATTCCTAGTACTTCCCTATTAGACCTCTGTTTATACAGGTTGTTTATGAATCCTCCATCCAGGAAGTTTTATAATATGTATATATTTCTACATACTGTTATTTAGCTGCTGTACCTGTGACACAAAAGTGATAGCCTTGCCCGAACGGCCAGCACGGGCTGTACGACCGACGCGATGTATGTAGTCTTTACTGTGCAGCGGGATGTCCAAGTTTATCACCATATCCACATGAGGAATATCCAGACCTCTGAGGAAGTAAAACATTGTACATAATTATTAGTGAACTTATAATGCAAGGTATCACATTGGATAAATTGAGGGTTTTGAGTGTTACCCAACCCAATTTTGAGTATAAACATAAATCAAATGGTTTAGAATAATGTAGGACATAATACTAAATTCCTCAATTTATCTAACTAGGCATGCATCCTTGTAAATTAAAAAAAAAACACGTTTGGGTCCAATGTATCATCAGCTATTTAGATTTCAACTGTTTCAACTTTAAGCAGTATGGGACTGGTACTCTTTTAAAGAGTACCAATTTTCTGTACCCCAGTCCGTAAAAAATAAATAAAAATACATTCGCATTTATATTAGTTATCAATAGGATTACCTACCTAGAAGCAACATCAGTGCAAATGAGCACACTCCTGCTCTTATTCTTGAACTTGTTGAGCGCCGCCAGACGCTTGTTCTGCGACATCTGTCCGTGCAGCGGCACAGCGGCCAGCCCCAGGTTGCGCAGGAGCAAGGCCGTGCGCAGCGCGCCTGCGCATGTCGCCACAAATACAATGAACGATTTGCCAGCCATCTCGTTCAAGATGTGCACTAAGTACACGTCCTAGATTTAAAAATGAAAAAAAAATATTATTCTGGATACGAATGTGTAAAGCTCACAATAGAGAAGAAGATTAATCAGTAACTACTGTAGTTTTTAGTCTGCTGCACTCATGTTACACCAGTCACTTAGGGACACAGGTCTTTCCTCATTCTGTCTGGTGACTTTCGAGGTTTCATAATAGATAACTATATAATTATCTTGAAGTTTAAAATTACTTAATTAAAACGATGTGAAGTTTACAAGTTTGATGAAAATGTCCGAATATCATCGTTTTGTATTGTTTACATTCATAGCCTGCCTGTCTGAGATCAATAGCGGTCTTACAAACACTAGCGATTAACGATTAATGCATTGTTCTTCAAATTCCCGTTCATTAATACGGTGGCATTTCCAGAATGCTCGTAGCATTGCTATGATAAATGGCACAATTAAAACTCTATAAATATACGATATATATAAATTGATTACCATTGATCTATACCAACCCGTCTGGCCAGTGTGGTATAGTAGGCCAAAACCTCCTTTCTAAGGAGAGGCTTATGTCCAGCAGTGGACTATTAAAGGCTGTTGATGTGATGAAGTGATTATGATAATTTGATTGTGGTTAAATTTTAAAACAATAATGCATTAGCATAGTAATTGGTAAAATTAATAAATCTTGTACAAGTGTATATTTTCACTGACCTTATATTTGACCGGTATAAACACGTAGTACTGCAGCAATTTCTCAACAGTCTGGTACTTTGTGGACACCTCAACTTTAACGGGATCTTGTAAAGAGGCACGTTGTAGTTTCTGCACCTTCTTCGTCATAGTAGCTGAGAAGAGATACGTGCGACGCTCCCGAGGTATCACGCGTAAGATTTTATCAACTTCCACCTCAAAGTCCATATTGAGTATGCGGTCGGCTTCATCCATTACCTGAGAGAGAGAGAGAAGAGTTTGATTACCCAAGGACCTCTTTGCCATGAAGTGAAATTCTTTAGGTTCCATAATGTATTCAACAAAATTGTCTTATTAACATGCACATATTTCCTAAATGTCAAACTTCAAATAAGTTTCTCTTTTTTATTTAAAGACAACTCCTGCACTAGGAATATATCCTGTGTCGCGGGGAGCTTTAAAAACATACATGAAACTGACACAAAAAACACCCAGACTCAGAACAACAATTTTTGGATCACACAAAGTGTCATCTCATGTGGGGTTTGAACCTACAACACTCGGCGTAGTAAGAACCGGCGTGGCGACCGCTTATACCACTACGCCATCCGTGCAGTCAATTTATATAGTCAAATTTATATATATGACAATGTATATTTGTTAGGCTATCACATAGACTTAGATAGTTTTACTTAGTAATTTTTTTATCAAGAAATACCGTGTATGTATATGTTCTAGTTATTCAACAAGAAAAATCAGTGGGTTTAGCCAATTCTTTTATGGACAAACACGAAATAGCAAAAATACATACCAAAAACTTCAACGCCCTTAGATTGAACCCCTTAGTGTTCTCAAGATGATCAACCAATCTGCCTGGTGTTGCTATGATGATGTGGGGTTTCTTGGACAACATTAGAGATTGAGCTACCATATCCATTCCACCTACGATTACTGCACATTTTACTCCTATGCTTGCTCCTGGATTGACAAAAAAAAAACAAAGAATTAGTCAACTTTTATTGTGTTTATATTCTACCAGCTTTTTATATGATAGAGGGGCAGACGAGCAGACGGGTCACCTGATGGAAAGTGACCATCGCCACCCATGAACGTCCGCAACTCTTAGAGAGTACGCTCTTTTCGTGAAGGTCGTATCGGTCAGGAAATACTGCAGACGATAACCTGTTCCACAGATTGGTTGTGTGAGGCAAAAAGTGTCAAAGTGCCAGGTGCAGTGCAACTAACCAGGTGATAGGGATGAAAATTTTTGCTCGCATGATTCTTTCTGATTTCGTGTTTCTAACTTTGAAAATGTTCATCATACAACTGTTCATCTCTTATTTGAAAACACACGATGGCATTGATGCAAGACAGACATATAAGTTCCTTAATTGCTGCTTCGGATAGGTTCGACCCTTTTTGCAATTTCAATGAAGGGTCTAGTACTAGTAGAACTCACGGTGCCATGGGAAAAGAACATGACTAAAAACCACACTTCAAAAAGAAACAAGTACTTTGACTTAACAAACGATACAACTAAAAATGGTTATGTTGTTGCATTGTATACCGTGGAAGTGGGTGTGAGAGGTATACCAGCTAAATCCCTCTATAACCTGCTTAAAGACCTTGGATTACCAAGAGTTTCAATGACCAAAGTGGCATTGCTAGGCTTATATCAATAGAGGGGGTAACACAACAGACAGTGGAGGTGAGCCTGACGCGTCACAAGGAGTACTCCCTAAACCTTTACCTTCCAAAAATCCTTTCTTAACAACTTGCTTACAACATGAAAAGTATGAAGCTGAAGCTAGCCGACGGAGCTAGCCGACGGACATAGCCTGCGTAGTATATGGCACGCCCCTCAAAATGAGTTTTTTTTTAAAGAAAAAAGAGAGCAAACAGTCATTTTCCTGCATCAAATTACTATACAATGAACCAGGGCCTTTTAAGATTAAAAAAATATATTTAAACAATCATATTAAATGAATAAACGCTGTTTATTAGCGAAAACTCGAGTTTTTCGGTGGTAAATTTGTCCTAGCTTTTTTCACAAAAATAGGATTGCTTTCTAATTTTGTATAGTTAATGCCTAAGTATCATCCAATAATACTAAATTACTTTCACGTTGGCAGAAAAGTTATAATTTTTATTATTAAATGAACAATCAGTCACGACTTACGATAAATTGACCGATTCGACGAAAAACCTGATGTAACTCTGTTTACAACAATAGGATTGCTTCCTAATTTTGAATAGTTTATGCCTACGTATCGTACAATAATACTAAATAGGTTTTACGTTGGCAGAAAACATAAAATTAACATAATTAATGAGTAAACGTACGTAACCAACAAAAAATACTGAATTTCGATAAAAAACCTGCTGTAACTCGATTTACAAAAATAGGAATGCTTTCAAATTTTGTATAGTTAATGCCCAAGTATCATACAATAATACCAAATTACTTTTACGTTGGCAGAAAAGTTATAATTTTTATTATTAAATGAACAATCAGACACGACTTACGATAAATTGAACGATTCGACGAAAAATCTGATATAACTCTGTTCACAACAATAGGATTGCTTTCAAATTTTGTATATTTAATGCCTAAGTATCATACAATAATACCAAATTACTTTTACGTTGGCAGAAAAGTTATAATTTTTATTATTAAATAAACAATCAGACATGACTTACGATAAATTAACCGATTCGACGAAAAACCTGATGTAACTCTGTTTACAACAATAGGATTGCTTCCTAATTTTGTATAGTTTATGCCTACGTATCGTACAATAATAGTAAATAGGTTTTACGTTGGCAGAAAAAATAGACTTAACACAATTAATGAGTAAAAAGTACGTAACCAACAAAAAATACTGAATTTCGATAAAAAACCTGCTGTAACTCGATTCACAAAAATAGGATTGCTTTCAAATTTTGTATAGTTAATGCCTAAGTATCATACAATAATACCAAATTACATTTACCTTGGCAGAAAAGTTATAATTTTTATTATTAAATGAACAATCAGACACGACTTACGATAAATTGAACGATTCGACGAAAAATCTGATATAACTCTGTTCACAACAATAGGATTGCTTTCAAATTTTGTTTATTTAATGCCTAAGTATCATACAATAATACCAAATTACTTTTACGTTGGCAGAAAAGTTATAATTTTTATTATTAAATGAACAATCAGACATGACTTACGATAAATTGACCGATTCGACGAAAAACCTAATGTAACTCTGTTCACAACAATAGGATTGCTTTCAAATTTTGTATAGTTAATGCACAAGTATCATACAATAATATCAAATTACTTTTACGTTGGCAGAAAAGTTATAATTTTTATTATTAAATAAACAATCAGACATGACTTACGATAAATTGACCGATTCGACGAAAAACCTGATGTAACTCTGTTTACAACAATAGGATTGCTTCCTAATTTTTTATAGTTTATCCATAAGAGTCGTTCAATAATAATAAATAGATTTTACGTTGGCAGAAAACATAAAATTAACATAATTAATGAGTAAACGTACGTAACCAACAAAAAATACTGAATTTCGATCAAAAACCTGCTGTAACTCGATTCACAAAAATAGGATTGCTTTCAAATTTTGTATAGTTAATGCCTGAGTATCAGACAATAATACCAAATTACTTTTACGTTGGCAGAAAAGTTATAATTTTTATTATTAAATAAACAATCAGACATGACTTACGATAAATTGACCGATTCGACGAAAAACCTGATGTAACTCTGTTTACAACAATAGGATTGCTTCCTAATTTTTTATAGTTTATCCATAAGAGTCGTTCAATAATAATAAATAGATTTTACGTTGGCAGAAAACATAAAATTAACATAATTAATGAGTAAACGTACGTAACCAACAAAAAATACTGAATTTCGATCAAAAACCTGCTGTAACTCGATTCACAAAAATAGGAATGATTTCAAATTTTGTATAGTTAATGCCCAAGTATCATACAATAATACCAAATTACTTTTACGTTGGCAGAAAAGTTATAATTTTTAGTATTAAATGAATTTGAGGGGCTTGCCATATACTACGCAGGCTATGTCCGTCGGCTAGCTCCGTCGGCTAGCTTCAGCTTCATATGAAAAGTATCAGCCACCAAAATATCAAGTTTGTAACTCCTGTGGCTTAGGAGCTGATAGCTCAATCAGTACATATATTTATTTATTTAGATTATTTCATAAGTAGTTGAATCAACATTAGACATGGAAACTATTGCTACTTTTAAATCATATTCATTTGATGAAATGATTGCTTTTAGTCACAGCGATTTTACATTTGATTGTGATTTCAACATAGACAAAGATAAATGCCATTAAAATCAATCAAAAGTCAGTTTTATCAACGGTTTTTTAGGACTCTTTTTAGATTTGGGCTGCGTTAGCGTAATAATAATTATAAGTTGCAGTTGTTTTGTAAATCATCGCAGGTGTGATAATATGATTTATAAATTACATGTCATTGTGAAAAATGCAGAAATAGATAGAATATAGAATACTTACCGAGAGCTTCAAACTGTTCAGATATCTGGAATGCCAACTCTCTTGTAGGTGTCAAGATCAATGCAAAATACCTCTGTGGATTCTCTAACAAGGCCTGTAAAATTGGCAAAGCAAAGGCACCTGTTTTGCCCGAACCTGTCTCGGCTAAACCAATAATGTCTTTGCCTTGCAGAGCCACTGGTATTGCCTCTGTTTGTATTTTTGACGGCTTCTTCCATTTTAATTCTTCGCAAGCTTCGCATAATACATCCACTACTCCCTAAAAATGAGAAATACTTCAGTGAACATAACCTCAATCTCGTTTCGTTTAAATTAAAAAATTAACACATCTGGTAATATGCCAAAATATTGTTTATGAATTTTTCGGACAGTTAATGAATGAACTGTTATTGAAATAAATTTATATACGGCGTAGAATACCAACCAAATCTTTAAACGTTGTGTTATCGTCCTCTTTTTCGTCATTTTCTTGTTCTACTGGTATTTGATCCTGTTCTTCGCTTTCGGACTGTTCACTATCATTATCACTACTTTCATTTTCGTGGTCTGCTGCCATTTTCGCACAAATTACAGAAACTACTGATACTTTGAAACCATGTGTTATTTATTTCAGTTGTTCGTAGTCCTATCTCACGTGTATATACTCAACGCAGTTGAACGCAGTGCAGATTCGAGATTCATGACTCAAGTTGTAACTGTCAATGTCAAGCGTTGCGAGAAAAACGTTCAGAAGTTGATTGACCAGAGAGACTAATGTTTCCAATGTTTCAGTTGTAAACTGTCAGATTGAGACTACTTCGTTGCAGCGTTTACGTTCAATCTCTTTTTCGTATAAAATCTTTTAAAAAAAAATCTAATTAATTTTAAAATTTAAATTTCTTCCAAATTTTATGGATAATGTGAATAGATACGGCCCCAGATGTAATCCATGTGGTATTCCCAAGAATGCAGTTTAGTAGTGCTAGGTGCTAGGATTCAGGAACACTACCGGTTTTTAACTTTGAGTTTACTCTACAAAAAAATGTTATTTAGACTATAGAAAATTGTTCTTCATACTTTTTCGATCTCGCATTTAAGAGCGGTGTCAATTTTTCCTACATTGTCGGAAAAAATATTGTCGAAACGTTTTGAAATTAAGAATTTTTACGAAGATTGAATTTTTGCATTCTATATTTCATGTTTCGTTTTATTTGTGACTGTAAAATTCTCACAGGTCACATGGGATTTCCCTTTTAGTTGTTAATAAACGAACTTAAAAGCGAATGTATGTATATGAATGTATTCCAAACCCTTCAGGAAATTATGGGCTATATGATAAGTATATCGTTTTCATTAGAAAATTGCTTTATTTAGAATATCCATTTTTATCAATTAATTTACAGACGTTCTATTATTGCTGGTTCGTGTTTTCATTTTCTATGGTTTTTTTTAAACACATCTTCAGTAGAGATGTTACTGTCTGGTATTTTAACAAACCGAGTTGAATCGATTAGATAAATCGTGCGAATCAGTCTCGAACCGAACCGTTGAAATTACGTTGAAAACCGTTTTACGAGTTGACGAACGAATGTAACGTATGGAAACAATGTGCAAAATTATGCGACGGGATCGGACGGGATAATACTATAGTTTGTGCTTGTAGGTAAATTGAAATATATACTGACGTGTCGCGTCCACTCGGTGTAGAATCAGTTGGTAGGTAAATTAGTTTTTTTCAGTCGATAAAGCAGGAGTCTTGAGAGCGATGATATGACGCGAAGTGCAGCGTGATCTTATTACACGGCTCTTACCCCCGACTCAACTCGGTCATGCTCAAACCGGATTAAATCCGATTGAAATGTCGAGTCGTCCACCACTAATCTGAAGTAAACAGCAGCGTCTGTTGATAATTTAAGGTTATTATTTTGTTTCTATTGTAATTGCCCATAATATAAGAAAATACTTTTGAAAATATGGCTAAGCACCACCCAGATCTAATCTTCTGCAGAAAACAGCCTGGAGTTGGTAAGTTAGGAACTATTAACTGTTAATAACTACCTAGTCAGGAAAGTTTACATGTTTTATTTTTTTTCAGCTATTGGCCGCTTGTGTGAGAAATGTGATGGTAAATGTGTAATTTGCGACTCGTACGTACGACCTTGTACGTTGGTGCGAATATGTGACGAGTGTAATTACGGTTCATATCAGGGACGTTGCGTTATTTGCGGAGGGCCCGGTGTCTCGGATGCTTATTATTGTAAAGAGTGCACAATACAGGAAAAAGACGTGAGTAGTTCTTTTTTATTGTTTATCGCATGGTATCGAAAGTATTAGAGATTATATATAAGTTAGTTATATTTAAACACTTATAGTTTTGTTACTTTGATATGTGAAAACTATCTCATAACCTGATTTTCCATGGGTTATAAACAAACAGATTAATTCAAATAAATCATAATGAACATATTTGAATACATTCATAACTTATCATTCGACTATCACCTGAATAATCTTTTTACTCACTTTCTTACCCTCATATATTTTACATCCTCACTCTGCTCACACAGTATGATCTTGCACAGTTTTTTATGTGTATATTTTTCATCAAGAATCATATAATTTGCACTTATATGTGCAACCTGAAGGCCAATTCTAATAAAAGTATGGCCTCAATTCAGTTCCGATCAACTTTCCCTCTATTTACTTTCCTTCTATTTTCATAGTAAACTAAGACTAGCTATTACCAATTCAATTTTCAGTTAATATGATATAATCACATTACTTTACTACATTTGTTATCTTAAAAAAAATTTAAAGGAGCATTTCCTAAATGGTTGAGCGATGGGAGGACCTTGATCTCCTTAAATCCTGTGTGTGCCCATATCTTATTCCTGCTTTTAAATGTATCCTATCTTGTGTAGTGCATGTGTGTGTCTAATATTGAATGTGTGTTCAGTGTGCTATGTTAATAATTATATGAGTTTGTTAGTCTTGTATATCTTGTATCTTACTGTAAAATTGCAACTCCCCATGCCATCCTTAATTTCCTTCTCCATCCAGCGATTGCCTGGAAGAGAATGCAATGAGACCGCCAATTGTACAACTTTTTTAATGTAACTTGTTTTACTTTCTTGGTGTTACTGTCCCTTAATTAAAAGACTCATAGAAATGGATACAAACTGTTTTAAAATTGTTCTTTTTTCTTGTGCCATAAAGAGTTACCTATCTATCTATATCATAAATTATTCCCCTGTTATGTTCTAGCATATTACTTAAATATAATTTCTTTTCCAGAGAGATGGGTGTCCTAAGATTGTGAACCTTGGAAGCTCAAAGACAGATCTGTTCTATGAACGGAAGAAATATGGGTTTAGAAGACATTAATCATAGTTTTACTGTTAGTGTAATAATTATATGTGTAAATATATATTTCAAGGGCAAAATGTCTATTATTATTTTTAATGGATATGTTGATAATGTTTTAAAATTCTGATTCTCATTGTAAACACGCTAATACGACACTGCAATAAGGCTGACAGCTTAGTGTAACATCAACTATCTGTACTCCTATGACTAAATATATGTCACCTACATAACATTTTTTTAGCTCAACAATGGCTTTATATTGTTGATTGATTGTATGGTAGTCTCTCAATATTTCCGACTAGTTTTTGTCTACATATTATTATAATCACTATCAAAAAGTAGTAACTAGAATAAAACCACTGTAAAGTTTTGTCACTCATTTATTAGTACAGCTCTTAAAAATCTAAATATACAAATCAGACTACCTATTTACATGGAAACAATAAAAATATTTGATGTCCCATATTTAGTTAAATTATAGTTTCCTCTTAGATAACATGTATGTAAGGGTAACATGGGTGTAAGGGACGGTGTAACGAATACTCAAAAAGTGTATTCAGACCATCATTCTCGACTCGAAAATCATTCAAATTTTCTGCCGGAAAATTAAACGTTTTATTCCAAGCAAGTATCGCTCAAAAGTAATAACTACATTTGTTTTCCGTGCAATCAGTCTACGCACACTAACACAAGTTGGCGCGCGCGCGCGCACGCGCTTCTGCTGTTTGATTAGTTACACTCCAGTTGTTGTCCGTATGCGATATTTAAATGCGAATTATGGTCTCAGTACACTATTTCTGTAATCGTTTCACCATCTCTTACAGCCCGTATAAAATGTCTATATTAAATTAATGAAACGTTAAAACTAACTAACAATGAATTTCTAAAACATGTGAGGAGAAGTACACCAACCATTACTCTATCTACAAATTAAAATCTATTTGCATTGAATACCTACATGGAAGAAATTAATTCTAGTAACAATAAAAAAAGTTACTAACTTAAAAAAAAGTAAAAACAAAAAAACCTTAAAAAAAAGTTGCCAACCATGCAAGTAGTGAAATTTAACAAAAAACTAATTGAAATACGAGACTATAATCACAAAACCTTAGTTCTTCATAGTAATTTCTTACCCGAGGGTCAGATTTCTGCTGGAAATAGGGCCCTGGCTGAGACTTATAGGCAATTGCGGTTACACAGTGTTTCGGTGCTACCATGGAGCAAATACAAAGGGTGAACGCGAAATATAGCTATTTTGTTTTAATGCTCGTATTCATGTAACCAGAATAAACATTATATTTAAAATGCATGCATGTGTAATGTATTTATATGTGTATATATCACAGCAAACAAATTCAAGGCTACTAAAAGAGGGGTTCTGACCTGAACAGAAATCTGATGTGACAATAGTATACACCCTTTGCTCCTTACAAACAGTAGTCGTTTTCCTACAAAGACTAAGAACTTAAGAGTTGGCTTAAAATCTACTATAAGATTCTATCCACTACTACCACTGGCAACACTGTTCGCTGATGACGTGGCGGGATTTGTCCAAATGTTAGTATCATTGGACCCTGAGTACGTTGGTCGCGCCGGTATGATTGGTGACCGAGTGCAAACACTGAAAAATACGTAAGTTATTAATTATATTTTTTGATTTACGTACTAATAATTATGTTGTGATTAGCAACACTCTTCGGTATTCCAAAAGGCATATTATTTTAATTTCTCAATTTTTACTTGAACTGATGTTTCAAATACGTGAGTCAGTAGTTCCTCTTTCGTTGGACAACTCAGAAGGAGTAAAAATAGACACTGCTTAGGGTAGTACCAATCGGGAAGTGCCTCTCCCCCTCCTTAAGATAAGACGGCCGAATTGAGTGACTGCTCTTTTTTTTGGAAATAGTGAAAATGTAAATAGTTTTCTGTAATTTCTATCTAATTCACACAGTGGAGAGTGCTCAATTTTTACTTCAAAGTTTTATTTAAAATTTTAATTATCAGCATGCCTTAAAAGTTTAGAAATTTGGTTTTACGAAACAAGTGTAGGTATAGTGTCAAACATGCATTCATTGAGCTTTACTTAATAACTGACCTCCCCGCAATCTTGCTGGAATATCAGCTGAATCCAAAAATAGTCCTAAAAATTATCACAATATAATATTAGTTGTAGTAGGCAGATACATGCACGTCCAGAGCATCGTTGTACCAATGATCCACTAATTTCCACTAGTAGGGTTTTTAGTGGGTCTGTGGATCCCGTCTGCCAAACCTCTACACGAAAAAATAATGAAAAATCAAGCATCCCTAACGTTGTATATTCTGGAGAGACTTGCTTAAAACAAGGCAAATTTCCAGGAACCTTCGACAATACAGTAGATACCATCTTGACTTCTTGGACGACTTCGACAGTGTCATCATGTTTATAACTTTACAAACATCGCCTGTCTAACAGAAATATAGGTAAAAATGTTGTCTCCAAAATCATGTTCCTCATGAAAATCTAAAAATCTTTGTCTCCCTTTGAAGTCATTTCTGGATTTTATTGAAGCTGTGAAAATGCTAGACTAGGAGTTGAATAGAGATTATGAAGCTCTTACTCACGAGTTGACATCCTCCAATTTTTTCAGCAGCCTTTCGTTTTCTCTACTCAAGAGCTCGTGATCCCTGAGCAGCTGATCACGTATTCCGAATAACTCTGTATTCTCCGCTCTGAGAGCTGTATTCTCCTCCATGTGGAGCTGGACTAGGTCTACGAGTTCCGCTTGTGAAAGCTGGTATAATTTGTTTGGTTCGATCTGAGATTGAGTGCGGTGATGGCCTGGTAATAAGGACAAATTTAAGAATTGGCTCAGAAAAAATCTTGGCATTTGCGCACGTGATGAATAAAGCTGTAATAAAATGAACTATTTTGAAGTTATAGTTAAACTAGTTTGAAGTTAGACTTGTTATTAGAATGTACAAAGATTATATCGCGTAGTTTATTAATGAAAATAATGACTAAAGTATAATTTTAGCAAAGGTTGCAGAATTTAAGATAATCTCTTTTACGTTATTCAGTCTATTGATGTCTGGTTTAGGTCGGCGGTATGATTATGATCATCATTATCATTTTGCCCGCTCATTTCAATTATTTTTGGGATTAGTGCAAAGCGAAACATTGCAAAGGGGTATGATGCCGGACTTGTATCACTCTGGGTGCTAGCCTGACGCCAAACCTCCTTAGGAATATAATCATTTTCAGACGGGAAAAAATAAGGTAAATTGTGTTAATAAATGGACAAGGCTAAGAAGCTAGGATGAGGAACATCGCAAGTGTTGGACAGGAAAACGGGTCTGAGACTAAAATAGGTTAAAAAGGCATGATATACAGACAACAATCAACACTTATTGAACGAATTAAGTACTGGACTTTCTTTTTCCAATTTTAAAACCATACTCACTGTAGGAATCCAAGTTATAATCAGTCTGGACGTGCAACGCCGACCTGAGATGTTGGTTTTCCGCATGTAGAGCTTCCACTTCTCTCTTTAAACTTAATATTAGAGCATCCCTCGCATCCTAGAAATGAATAGTGAATGAAAAGATTTCATTGAAGTCTACTTTCTTCTACGGGATGCTGGGAACTACTGTTTAATACCTAAGCCTAAACAGTATGTTCCAAACCTGATCAGGAAATGTAATAAGTAAAGGGTTCGTAATTGTTAGAAGTACAGTCAATTATTAGCTTGGATTTAAGGAGCTTAGGTAGATTTCTCTCAATCTTGTTCCAAGTATATTCCAGAGAATATCCTATACTATACATAAAATATTGATCAATAGTGATGCCGTACTTGTAATTAACTAATTATGTTGTTAACTAACCATTTTAACAATAGGCTTAGATTTAATCTTCTTCGCTCTTGAAGCGTACCGCAATGTGTTGACAGTCTCACTTAAATTCGATCTCGTCGGTGCTATACATGCGATCTGTCAACAATTAAGAAATAGAATTCATGTAACTAAAAAAGTAAAAATTTCTTTTTATCGGTTTATGCACTACCAGACATTTTCCCTTTATCCACGAGTTTACCTCGTTTTTTATAAGTTTAGATCATTCCTGTATTATTAAGATGTTTTCCACAATGTAGTTTACATTTACAAAATAGATATTTTAGGGAGTTTTTTTGAGTTGTTAAAATTGTTTTTTTAAATAAATTCTGGCAGTCTGGCTGACAGACTTCTCTTTTGAGGTGTATACAAAAGAGAAGTCTGTAAAAGTATTAAATTACGTATAAAGCAATTTTAGTTTTATGATTGTGTAATTTATTGTTCTGTAAGAATGTAACGTTACTTTAAATCATGAATATTTTCAAGTTAATTTGAATTTAAAATTCTGTTGATGTACAAAAACGTTTATTTCTATTCTATTATACAATAAGAGGTAAACACCTATACAAAAAGAATAATTAATTCGCTTACCATAAGAGTAACACCATTACCGGCAAGGCTGTCTGCTAAGAGCTTGGTCAACTTGCTGTCCCGGTACGGGATGTGGCCCCGTTTCCTTCCGTCACTCAGTTGAGCTATACAATAACCTATTGACGAGACAAACAGAACAGATAACACAAATGTATTTGGAAAGCGTTATGAATTGAGAGCATTTGTATGGTCATTGACAGACCTTTGGTAGTATTCATTGCTATTATTAGTTTAGACAAATTCTTCTTCTTCTAACAGTTTTACAGCATAAGTCTTAAGTTTTAAAGAAATAATCAACAATAAAGTAACAACAAGAGCACGTGTGCGCGGCCATAACTTCCAAGATGAATATTTCATAAAATATTAATCTATAGCTTATAATTCTTTTTTCGACTTTAGTATTCAATTAACAAAAGAAATTAGAACTTAAGTAGTTGCTGGGATCTCCGTGGCCGCGGAATCCTCCATATTTTGCACACATGCCAAATTTTTGGTTTGTTCCCAACTAAATTGTGACAAATTTTCGTTTCGATAACGAGCGGAACAATCGAAACTCACAATGTATTTGTAGTCTAAGTGCATTAATGATACAGTGATTTAATGCTTGGCCATCTACGACAATTTGCAATATAACATTTGAGTTATTGCAAATAAGTAGTTTTATGGTCATTTCTGTACATTGAAGCTAATTTTCCAGGCAGGCAAAACAAAGTTATACATAAACAAACAATAAAAACTAAACCTAGTAATGTATAATTATCAGAGAAATATCACAACACACAATAATCAAACGCACATTTCAAAAGTGTTTTTAAGGATCGGCTCAGTTGCATTCACATTTCCACTAAGGCTAGTGGAGCTGATCTGTGTATCCTTGAAATTTCAAAGGAATTAAACACAAATTTACGTGAATCAAGATCCATGTAAAAGAGATGCATCTTAAACAAAACCCGAGATATCATGGTGATATTGTAAATTAATCCATCATCATCCTTTGAAAGGAGGTTTTGGTCTAACATACCATGCCTACCAGAGGGTTTGTTTCCAATTTGCCTTCTCTTTTCAGTGCTGTTGTCCTGCGTAGTTTGCTCATTTAGTCGGCTCTTATGACGCCCACTGGATGAATAGGGGTGGTGCACTCCATAATTCAGAATTCATTTTAATCCGTATTCTTAATCCGTCCTAACACGGACGTTGAGTAGATTACTCACCCAAAACCATAAGACTTCTATTAATATTATTGGCTTCTTCTAAAGTCTTCCCGGTGCTATGGGTACGTTTGGTCATCTCGCTGCCCGCCAGATCCACGAAGTTGATCTTGCCGTGCGTGGAGCACGTAACGTCAGCATCAGCGCGCAGATCCCGTCTCACTCGCACGCACAGGATCGTGTGTGAGCGGGACGAGTGCGCGTTCATTGCGTGTGCGCCTACAGCACGGTTTCGCATGCCTGTTAAATACAGAAAATGATATTAATAAAAAAATAATAATATTATTTTTAGGGAATCTGCTCAAAATTGTCTATGGTTATAATTAATTCTACTTAACAAAGATTAAAGGGCCCAGAGAACATTACGTCTCTTACTTTATGAGCTACATCACTATAAACCATCCAGGTTCAATGTGTAAAACGAAATATTATATTGTAATTTGTAAAATGTCTTTAATTGCTCAAAAATAGTAATGTTTTTGAGCAATTAAAGACATTTTACAAGTACGCAGGACAACAGCATTGCAAAGAGAAAGAAAACTTGAAACAAACCTTATACCAATTCGTCTGGCTAGCGAGCTATAGTGGGCCAAATCATCCTTTCTAAGGAGAGTCTTATGTCCAGCAGTAGACTACTAAAGGCTGTTGATGATGAATCATATCACGACGTAAACTAATAAAATTAATTATGTTTTTCTAAATTACCTTCTTCTAAAACTGCGAACAAGTCGTCTAGCTGTTCACAATCAACTGTGAATAGGTTCTCTACGTAGAATCCTCTTGTTTCTTTGGACCATCGCACTTGTAGTGGTTTTCGCGCACTACCTGGATTCAGTAAATCTATAACCTAGAAAAAGACATAGCATTTTAGTTGTTAAACATCTTCTATTTGATTAGATTTTCTATTAGATCGGTCTCTTTACACTATGACATTATTTGGAGATTTTTCTAGAAATTTCATATCCGAGGTGCATGGGAGACTTTATGGAAATAAATTTAAATGTTTTTGTATCTTATAGTTTATATATCGTTCAATGTAAATAACAATTTTTTTTACTCAAATTGCCTTTTGTCTCGGACGACTGAATAGAATGGTAAGTATAAGGGCATCACATCATCAGCCTTTAATAGTCCACTGCTGGACATAGGCCTCTCCTTAGAAAGGAGGTTTTGGCCTAGTATACCACGCTGGCCAAACGGGTTGGTATAGGGTTTGTGTCCCTTCTCTCGGCAGTGTTGTTGTTCTGCGTAGTTTTCTCCCTTAGGCGGCTCTTACGACACCCACGGGATGAATAGGGGTGGTGACACTCTGTATTTGTCACCACACGGACTGAGTATAAGTACATAGTGGTATTTGAATAAGTAATATAGTCTACAAAACTTTTATCGAGACTAGAATGACATTACTTCTTTCACCTTTATCATGTGTTTTCACTCACCTTTTCGTTATAAATCTCTAGGAATGAAGCCTTAAGTATAAAGTGTGAGTCCGGCCGTTCGTTTATCAGACGAAACAAGTAGACGAAAGACCGAACTACCAGACCGTGTTCTGGAGAATAGGGGCTTGTACCTCTTTCCACCTGAAACCAAAATACTTATTAAAATATGGCATCCAATAGGTGCCAAAGGTGTCCTCCTTTCTAAGGAGAGGCTTATGTCCAGCAGTGGACTATTGAAGGCTGTTGATGTTGATCCAATAGGTGATAGCTTTTGCTGTTAGTTATATTATAGTTACTCTTATATTCAGAGCTAACTAACATATGCGTGGGTGAAATCACATCAGCGAGGCCCCTTTTCTTTCGTTCTCAAGACATATGTGCCCAATAGGTGCCTACATCTATTTTACCAAACATACTTTAACACGACATACCTACTCATGATAGTAAAAAAAAGCGCGATGGCAGAATATAAGAAAGCACATAGATTAAAAAAAAAGGTTTAATTTGTAACCTGCGTGATTTTAATTTCTTACTATAGTAATTTTTATCGGCTTTTTGATTTACCGAAGACTTGTAATTAATTTTTGCACCTAAATCTGCTTAGATTGAAAGTATTGCTAAATAAAGCAGTCGTATCTGCTTGATATTGGTTCTAAGTAGTTTTTAACCATTTTTAACTTAGAAATAGTTCTTTTTGTACTTACAGATGCGTCAGATACGTCTCTATAATAAGATTCAATGACTTTGTATTCTCTATCTTGAAGTACTACACCTAAATCGTTACAATCCTTAAAAAACTTGTTATTTGGCAAAGATTTTATGTACCCAGGTGTATAATGCAGTCCCGAGAATTAATCTTCCCCTAGGAATGAGTGTCGTCTATTACACGGAGGAATACTTGGAGCTGGCCCAACTTGGCTTAATCAAGCGCAGTTGGTAGCGAATATTCGGATCGTACGAGGATACCGCATACCACTCACGCGCCTACCACTCACGATTTCTACACTACCTAATGGTTGACTGGGAGAGAATGCCTTGGGCATTTAGTCCGCCGATGTACAGATGTGCATAAAGTTATAAATAAAGAAATAAATAAATCTCCTCGGAGACGGTGAAGTCCTGGCACGTTTGGTGCCTTTAGATATCCTGGGTCATAGACACGAGGGTCTATGACCCGACTCGCGCTATCCGTCGGCGGTGAGGTTCAGGACGAGCTCGAAATGCGACGAAGCATTCACCCACAGGCACTGATTCAAAGGCGCGCGGATGGAGCAACTCGAAATGTGCGCCAACGCTTTTTATGGTGCTGTTCTGAGTAACTGCGAAGAGTGGGTAAGTAAGGATGCAGGTCGCGTCATCTACCAGTTTATACACGTACTCCTCGAGCATGGTTGCTTCAGTGAGTACCTGAATTCGATCAAACTTCAGTAGACGGCAATGCCTGCTCTCACCACCATGCGCAAGAGAATTGCTAACCCCGCCAGCAATTGTATCAAAAAATTGTGGGGCCAAAACACATAGGTGGATGGGACCTAGATAGGTGCGGCGTTGATCCGGGATAGGACCTAGTTAAATCCGGCGTTGATCCGGGAGCGAATTGAAATCACATGGTACAGGTCCTCCCAGAGTTGAACGCCTGAGGCCGGACGTCGGGCGTGTTTTAGAGGAGACATTACTTACTCCTAACTCCTACGTCTCCAAAGCGCTGGACATCTGGACATCCAAGGGGATTTTCATACCCGTCAATAAAAAAGGCCCCTAATTAGTTCCCCCAGAGCCCCAAAAATTCACGATCTGCCCCTGCTCATAGCTATTAACGCCTGACAAGTCTCTCTCGTGTTTCGTCAATCTAACGGTCGCGTTCGCGGCTTCTTGGGAGGCCCGAAACAAGTACACTTTGAGTGTAAATGTGATCAAATTAATTAGCCATCTGTGGTAACATCTGGGGGCATCGTCTCGCGAAGCCCCCCTAAGCGCGAGGCCGTGGGGGACGGCCCATTTCGCCCACGTCTAGCTACTGCTCATATTAAAACGTTTTGAAGAAGACACCACTCTCAAGTTGTACACCAAAGGAAATATGCGAGAAAGGCAATCGACAAAATGTTCGGCAGGATATTCAGCATATAGGCATAGGATAGGCAGCCGGGTATCCGAATATTTAGCTTTAAGAACAGTTTTGGTTCACTTTGAGGAATCTTAGAATCGACAGTTAACGTGCAAGGTTACTTAAGCCTAAAATTATAGTTGAGCATTTGGACAGCTCTTAGCTAAATGGTCAGTGATAATATTGCTCAGAAAAAACTATCAAACGTTTTAAACATTACAAGTGACAAGTCGAAGCACCGAGGAAGGCTCAGGACATGTTTAAATTTTCCTACGACTGCCCAAGTGTACTCGTAGGTCACTGCTATTTACCCTAGTGTACAGGAGTTACAGTAACGGGCGGGTGGGAGGGATTGGTAAATATTTCAAGTATGGGCTGACCGTATTTTCATTAGGACTGTGCAGACTTCCCTTTATATACATTCATTACATATTACTCATTATACTCATTATTCATGTAGCGTGACAAGACACATCAGGCGATTATTTTGCCGTGATTGTTGATTGAAAGCTTTTTAATGTAAACACATAATAATACTTTCCAATTGGTTTCAATACAGTCTAATTTGAGAGGCCGTTTCCTTTAACTCTAGTTTTTATTGATTAAATCTTGCGAATTCTTCTAGCGAAGAAGTTATTAAAATAATATTTAATAATATCTGACAATAGTCTTAATTGTATATTTTGTGTTTTGCTCATCTACCTGCTACTGCTAGAACCATGGACTATTTAAAACTTTTTTAATATTTCGGGGTTACAGATACTACCCATCCCCCATACCGCCAACATTAAGTTCGATGTGATTTTTCTTCATTATCCAAGGTACTTCGTGAGCGAAAAATTAGGGTGGCAATTTTTCGTCGTCCCACAAGATGCATTTTTTAAATGTTTTGAAAGCTGGTTTATCAAAAAACATAAGTGCATTAGGGTAGGAGGGGAATTTATTGAATTTATTAAATAAAAAACAAAACACTAACAATTTTTGAAAGAGCTCACGTTAGATGAACTGGATTATTAAGAATAATAAAATATTTAGTCCATTGCGTTTTCCTCTCATCAAGCCCACATACTCCTGGCGCACTTAACTTCTGTTGCCAGTATAAAATTATACTGGCAACAGAAGTTACTTGGTTGGCAACTGTTTAATGTGTGTGATCCTTAGTTGAAAGCTGAACGTTGTCAGTGCAATGAGTAAACCTCTTTAAGTATACTTCGAACAGTTAGGCTAGGCTGTTAAAAAGCATCAATCAATGCCATTAAAATTGCCTTCATCTACAATTGTTCTGCCCAGTTGTTATCTAGCAATCGGTGACATGGACATGTCATCAATGCAACCGGCGTCAGACATGCGATGGATCGATACAGAGCTGCGAGGTCGGACAACGACTAATATTGTAGACACTGTTCCTCAAGGTTTGTACGTGTGAGACAGGTGTCAATGATTCAATCAGAGGTAGGAGACATTTGGTTATAGACCCCACGATTTTAGTTTTCAGTGTTCCATTTAGTCCTGCTATAACAATGGCTAACAGATCGTATCATACTTTAAAACAGTTTATGGAATCAGAAGGCCAAATAAAAATTCGGTCAAAATTCAGAGGATTGTGATCGCAAATTACATTCGTAATCTGCTAGCCTATTTTTATTATTTTACTACGAAAAACCTTTTATGGCAGTTGCGAGATCGAGATTCGATTTTCGATTTGATCAAAATTCAGTTCAGATCAATCAGAACTGAATGTTGATCGAATCGAAAATTGTAATTTTGATCGAATTTTTATTACGAGAATTGGCCTTATGAAGTATACTCGTATGTTTCCATTGCAGTTGTTCTTTGTATCTTTTAGTAAAAAAATACGGTAATGACGGTTAGTGTTTCAAGTTTTGCATTTTATATGTTTATGCCTATAAATTGCAAAACTGAGACTTATGATAGATTTAGTGAACTTTTGGCTGTTGGTACTCATACCAGCTCGGATTAAAACTGCAACTGGCAGTAACAACGGACTGTCCTGACTATGCTCCGTACTTGTAAAAGAATCTCTTCAAGAACATCGGTAAAGTCTGGTCACCAATACTCTTTAAGTGTGAAACAATGATCTTGACTATGGGGGGTCAGAGCTTTCATATTGAGAAATACTGGTCAGTGGGTTTGTCTATTTACAACGATTATTAAAAATTTAATCGTAAACATCTATTGGCTTTTGTTGGTTACTAGCAAAAGTCGATTTAAAAATTATGTTTGTTTATAACCTAGGTAATCGTTGCTTCCGACATGTTGTTGGTTCAGAAAACTATTTTACATTATATCTACTAAGGCCTTAACAATAATGACATGGAAGGATAACATTGTACGATATAATAATGATAGACGGCCCGCGATGGACATACGACCTTGACCTTCAATATAAGGTCACAGTATGCTTATATGCTTCTTTGTATGTAAAGGGGCGAACGATCAGACAGATCACCTGATCTTAAGCCGCTGCCCATGGATAACTTGAACTCAAGAAACATTGCCTACCCTTAGCCCCGGAATTAGGGGCCCCTGTCCTGATGCCGGGTTTCTTGGATCTGCTATAACGTCAATCACTCGGTGAAAAGCCGTGAGGCCGTGGCATCACTCCGGTTGATGCGGCCCTTATAAATTAGAATTTAGAATAAGAAACTATTGAAGGCTTGAAGTTTATCTCCTATACAGCTAAGTAAGCAATCAAAAACCTGCTTTATGGTAATTATCTCTTCGGATCCTTAGAGAAATCAATAAGGAGAACAATTTCTTATTGAGTTCTCACAATCACAACCGTCTATTGAAAGAACCATAAGACCTAAATTAAGTTTTCTCTTACCAATCCTGGCGGCCCAGTCAATGTGTGGGTTTTCCCACTGCCAGTTTGCCCATAGCAAAATGCGGTACATGAGAAACCTTCGACAGCCATTTCCAATAACCTCTTGACTCCAGAGAATTCTAGAACGTCTTCCTGTTAAAAAAAGAAGATTGGAGATGTAATGAGAATTTTAAAGATGTAAGCTGAATCGTTTTTCTTTCTAAACCCATACCTGTGTTGCCTCAGGCTCGAAGACGACGTTGTAGGAGAAGACCTTGGACTTCTGACTGGGGGTTGTGTTGTGGCAGATCACTTGGCCTTTACCAGGAAATTCTAAAAGCATTCGTTCGCCATGCGATCGCTCTTTATCACTTATTGGTCGCACTCTACAAATTAAAATGCATAACATAATTAATGCAGAGTAACATTTATTATGTAAAGCCGTACCGTAATTGCAATTTGTAATTACTGTGATGTTACACAATAAGAATCGATAGGGCGTTTTATCAGTATGGTATACATATTTTATTTATTAGTGGAAACTTTTCTTAAACATTAACTTATATAATATTTTAGCCATATTTTGGACATCTTACACACAACGCCATCTATTTTAGTTTCAAACTAAGCAGAGCTTGTACTATGAAAACTAGATTGACTGATAGAATACTTTTATACTTTTTTTTTTATAAATACATACGTATTATATATAGGAAACACCCAACACCCAAACTCTGAAACAATATGCTAATGGAATAAAATATATGCTGTAAACAAACAAAATATACGCAATATTTAAAGAGGCTTCGCGCGGCAAAAGGATGCACCGCGTGGAGCGAGAGCTTTGTGATGATGACACTACAATATAGAACTAATATACTACACAAAAAATAAACATTTCAGTAAGTCACTCGTCATTTTTAAAGAAAATTGTAGTTAACTTGTCGACCGTTTTCCAACCCACCTTTAGTTATCACGATTGTGTTGCCATATTATTAACATGTTTTACACATTTAAAGTGTCGGAAATCACTTTCTAAGAAATCAATAACGTTAAGGCTAACGTCCTTTTACATTTGAGAACTGAATAACCTTGAAAATGTAAATTATTCTCAGTTTAGATTATTTTCAGTTTAGATGTTTAAACTTACAATGTTCGGAAAAGCTAAGGTTTAAGGCATTATTCCTAACTTCATCTGAATCTTCATCAACACGAAATGAAGTTACTTGCCGCACTTGCCTGCCTGCTAACTAGATCTTAAAAAAAACGCAATTGATTTCGAAGATTAAATAATGAAAGAATGATGCTGGCGACGCGACCGCCAAATTACCTTAATTGTTGGTGAATCAATATGGCTATCATAGTATGGTGTTACGGGCAAAAGTACTTTTGACTGATCTTGCTGGTTAAAAAGACTTTTGACTGGTTACTAACCTGCTAATACAAAAAATTGACTGTACAAATAAATATGCATGCAAAAGAATTGTAACAGACTGGCTGCTAAAACTAGGCTATGATGAAACGGAAGAACATCAAAACTGCCGGCGATCGTTTACAACGGATCCGACATACCGATCAGTCTATTTGTCAAAGATCTTGACTTATGGATTGACTCCAGCCTCACTTGGCAACAGCAGGTTGCAAACGTAAGTCAAAAAGTCACTGGAACCTTGCGATCACTTTATCGGCTAAAGAACTTTCTTCCACATACTACTAAGTTATTGCTTGTACGGGCTTTGATCTTTCCAATCATTGATTATGGTGATGTATGCTATCTCGACCTGAATGCAGATCTACTCAACAAACTTGATCGACTTCTCAATAATTGCATTCGATTCATCTTCAACCTCCGCAAGTATGACCATGTGTCTGCCTATCGATACCAGCTGTCATGGTTACCTATACGTCAGCGCCGTAGCTTGCGCGCCTTGACTACCCTTTATTCTCTTCTTAATAATCCTACAGCTCCCACTTATCTCACTTCACAGCTTAAACCGCTATGCTCCAACCATGACAGAGATCTTCGGTCCACTAATAATCATTTACTCTTGAATCCAATCCACACTTCTTCTCTTGTTCATTCTTCATTTGCTGTCCAGTCTATCCTACTATGGAATGCGCTCCCGCTTGAGATCAGGATGTCAGGAAGTCGAGACACGTTCAAACCTAAAGTCCGCGAATTCTACAGGAAACAGCTAGCAGAAATATCCCCATGATATCGTCACCCAAACTTTATTGTATTTATTATATTCCGTATGTATCATATATTAATAGTTATCTATGTATTCGTCTATCTATTTTAAATAGTATTATCAAATTAATGTTATATTTTCATAGCTTCTCTTCTTATTACATAATATATGCGCACCTGCCATGTCCCTTACTGAACAATCTTAAGGTTGACTGTTAGATAATGCCATGTGGCATTAAGTCCGCCTCGTGCAAACTGTAATGCAGGAAGTGTAAAAATAAAAATAAAATAAAAAAGAACTTCTTCATCCGATCTTATGAATCAAAATGAAGTCATAAATACAAACATAACAAAAAGCCTCGCGCACACACACACTGACACCGGAATCCACAAGCAGTCACAGAACCCAACACACGCACACACACACACCAACATACCTAAGTAAAATGCATGTTTTTCTTGTTTTCTAGCTATTGTAGTGTAGATTGTTCTAATTGCATCTTTATTGTTTTATTACCAGCTAAAAATGTATTTTTGTGATACTGCTGGTTGCTAGTACTTATAGCACAGGTTTTCCTAGTTTAAGTACCAGCAGAACACTATATAATGTTATTACTGTCTGGACTATAATTTTGACATGTTTCTTCCTGTATCTTATTTATGATTAATTTGTGGCAATAAATAATTTTATTATTATTCTCTTTATTAAATTATATATACATATTAAACTAGCAACATGATATCGTCACCCAAACTTTATTGTATTATCTTATTGTATTTCTTTATTCTTTATTTTATTACTTTATTTATTAAACTTTATTTAACTTTATTATTATTATTACTAGTTCTGACTGTAACATTTATACTTCCAATTTTATTCCGTAAGAACAATATATTACTACTTTCATTTATAAATGCAAATAATGTCTTTAAAATTGTGTTATTTCAGAAAAAAAAAATAAAAAAAATTAATGAATGTTTAATAAGCTTTTTACAGAGAGTTTAATAATAAAGTCGGTTAAAACGAACTGATTTGACTTATCACTCAAGTATCGTATTTCTTTTGGTCTGCTCTATATTTACACAAATCCCATTTTATCGAATAGGTACTTCTGCTTCCTGTCTTCAAGATTTCAATATTGAAATAAGTACTTTATTTACCAAAATGTGTATGACTAAATACTACGTTCTACTAGGATGTCTTCAAAAGGATTGTTAAGCAAAACAAAAAGCTACTGAGCCAAAAAGTTCATACCTAAGCTATACATAATTACCTACTAAAAACGTCTTATCAGTGATGGCTACGCCACTGAATCAAAGAGGTATAATAACATAAAGTATTTATTCAAATCATCTTTGAAAAAGTGGCTTTTATAATAATAAAATTTTAATTGAGAATATCGAACAGACTACGTGTTGCATAGTCGAGTGACAATCGATTACTGAATTATAAAAGGAGGGAATCTATAATTCTAAATGTTTTACCGATTGCATAGCAGTTATATAAAAAGATAATTAATTCCTATTCGTACTACAATTATTATAAAAATAAGTATGAGGAAGAACTTGTATAATACGGGTGAAAAGTCAATTGTTCAGCTTCCTATTTCAGCGAAGATAAGTTTTTTATACCCTTTTCTTTAACCCTTTCCTTTTATACCCTTTCCTTTTTTTTAATACTCTATTCTTTTACCTGTTATGGAAAAATTATGATTGCGAACAGTCTAAAAAACGACTTTCACATACTGTGCAACGATTCTTGTTTTAATTTTGTTTATGGTATGCAACCAACCGAGCAGGCACAGGTCACCTGGTAGCAAGTGACTACTGCTGCCCATACAACTGGAACTCGAGAGCCACAAGTAGATAGCCTTTGAGTGGCCCCGAGGATTAAGGGAGAAGATTAGGCTTTCACTCACACGCAACGGGGAAGAAGAAAAACGGTGTTAGCTGTTAGCTTAACATTGTTTTTCTGTAAGCCTATTATAATACTGGTTGAGTCGGCCTATTAGTTCTGAAGGAGGATTTGTGAGAATTAACCTCACCACTGTTAAGTGAGACCCGGTTGATATTAGCTGATCCCGATGCTAGTGTACTTTTAAAATATTTATTATTGAATGTACGGATGGCGTAGTGGTTTAAGCGGTCACCTCGCCGCTTTCTACTACGCTAAGTGTTGTGGGCACTTTGTGTGATCCACAAATTATTGTTCCGAGTCTGGGTGTTCTTTGTGTCCGTTTCATGTATGTTTGTGAAGTCCCCGACACAGGATATATTCCTAGTGCGGGACTTGACTATTATAAAAAAAAAAAAACTACCTGACAACCACGTTGATGTTATCTTCGTCGTTATTAAGCGTTGTGGATGATCCTCTTGTGCTACGATCCACACTCCCTGCTCGGCTGCTACCGCTGGAAGGTAAGGTTGGATTACTATAACGTAAACATATTGAACTATTACAATTTTGGAACTTAGTTCTAAATTCAAAATTGGCAAATAAGGGAATTTGAAGTGATGTGAGTATTGGCGTCATTGGTGAGATATCCTTCCTATTGTTTTGATTGTGGATTATTCTTTAAGACTACAAGATAAGATTAAATAAAGAACACAAACATAAAATCAGAAAATGTTAAAAATATGAAAAACTTTAAAAATCAAATTATAGTTTAAAAAAATTGAAAAGCACTTTTGTAGCTAGCCGAACTACAACGTAGTACCTAAATAATTTTCTAAAGAAAAAACATTTTATCGTAAAAAAGATTAGGATGCTATATCTCAATTGTTGTAAAAATATTTTACTGACAGTTATTGGTAAAAGTAAACTATATTATATTATAAAATACCTTGAAAACCCAAGCTTTTTCACGCATAAGATAAAAGTCGCAGTGTCCGAATACGGTCTGGACGAAGAAGATTAGATTTTAGCTACTATTTAAGGGTTGGAGCGCACTAAATAGACATTTTCAAAAGAAACGAGATAGAGGCTCCAAAACTGATTACAGTATTACTTATTAAGGTCATTCGTTAGTGAGTATTCATAAACTGCCCTTGTCCTTGACACAAGTAATAGCCATGTATTTGCATCAGTTATATCTATAACCAAGCAAGCGAAGTGCAAACAAAACAAATTGTATCAATATTCTTTCATGTTGTACTTCATTTGTGATTTTTTAATGTTACAATCGATTGGAAAAATAGACATTGACAAACTGTAAATTTGCAGTCTTAAAATCGATTTTGCATTAAGTTTATGATAGGGATATTATGTGTAGCGTATAACGTAAGTGCCTCTAATAACGATATCTGCAAATCTGAAATGTCGTAGTTCCATTTACAAATGTCCTACTTTTATAATTTTAAAACAACTAAGGAGTTTTATTACTTTGATTAAAGAAGTATTTAGTTGTATTTTCAACCGAATTTGTTTCACTAAGCTTTTACTAGTGACCGAGATGTTATCGTATCTTGTGGCCAAGATTAATAGTTCTTTAATTTATTAAAGTCACACAAGCGTTCGCGGATCCAGGAACGGATTGAGCTTAACTAAGCCAAAGAGTGGTCATGACCCCTATGACACACCTTTTATCCGCCATTGTGCAGTCTGTACGCATTCCGTTTTTGACCTGTCTGTCGTTTGCCTCCTTATATCATAAAAAACTAGTCCCGGCAGTGAATAATACCCTATATAGGTAGGCCCTACCACGACCCTATACTTCAGTGACAAGTTGACGTATGAGTTCGCAACTCCAGCCTCAAAGAGCTACTTTGGTCTCAGTCTTTTTTTCTATCGGTGGCAGACAGTATTTTATTCTATAACCTTCTGGTAACGATTGTATTCCCAAGCAGACTTGGCATCAGATAGACAGCCAGCTATAAAATCAACTGGCCAAAAGCCTACGAATTGTATTTGCCTATGTAATTGGTACAAGAGTAATGATGATGAATAAGGTATTTATTATAGAACGGCTTTACCCTCACTGTGTATACTAGAAAGCCTAATTCTGATTACGACACTGATACGAAACTGATTTTAAAAAGAATTCTTCAACTAGCTATAAATAAGCCAATCATTAACCAAAACAAAACATTCTGGGCACTTAGTAGAATATTCAAATAAGCGCGGTGAGTGACAGCTGCGCAGTGAGTTGCCCGCCCAAATGCCAAGGGCTCTCATATTGACCGCTGGCAATATTAATGAAGTACTAACTGTTTTCAGTTTGATTGGAACCATTAGTGTGTAGTATTACGATGGTGCTAGGCTAGGAGCTCGTTTGTTCTTGATACTTTTGAGGGTTAATATCTATACTAATATCATAAAGCTGAAGAAATGGTTGAACGCGATAATTTTAGGAACTACTGGTTCGAATTGAAAAAATATATTAGTGTTGGATAGCCCATATATCGAGGAAGGCCATAGGCTATACAACATCAGATCAGAGATAGGAACCGAACATCAATGAAAAAATTTGCAAAAACTGAAAAAAATATGACGACGAAGGTGCGCGGGTCAGCTAGTCCTAAATGAAATTAGACTGAAACGATATTATCATTTTGTTTAGACGGTTTTACAAATCTCTTCATTTTAGACTTGCAACGAATATTCGGTTACTATTCGGTATTCGGCATATTCGGCTGCTTTTATTATATTCGGCCGAATACCGAATATCTACATATTATTCGGCAGAATACCGAATACTTAAATAATATATTTTGTCATTGAGAAATAATTGGTAAAATGAAAAATTAAAATCGATTGATTACGTATATATTCATATTTTCATTTCTGTTGTAATCATTTAAGTAGTCATTGGTGCATAACACAGGTACATAATCATCTTCTGAATTGGAAAAATGGAGGATTCTATGTATTTGAATTATTGTGGTAATCAAAATTTAGAAGGGTAAGGTTCTCATTTCTTTTATAATCATTTATTAAGTAGTCATTGGTACATAAAACAGGTACATAATTTAATTCACGTCTGTACAAGTTTTTGGCGCTAAAATCCAGCCGAATACTTTTGCCTAATATTCGGCTATTCGGTCAGGGGCCTCGCCGAATATTCGGTATTCGGTATACTGCCGAATATACTATTCGTTGCAAGTCTACTTCATTTCATATAGACTAGCCAGCTAAAAGTATAAAAATAAATTCAGTTCTTATTTTAATAAAAAAACAATAGAGTTATTTGTTTTGTTTATTACTTATCTCTTTATTGTACGTCATCAGTATTATTTGTACAGATATTATGTATATTTCGGTATAACAATAGGCGGTCTTATCGCTTACGGTGATCTCTTACAGACAACATTTATACGGATATTATCAAATTTAAATTAGGGTAGCTTGTGATGTAATATTTAGTTTCACATCATCACATCACATCAACAGTTTTTAACAGTCCACTGCTAGACATAGGCCTCTCTTTATAAAAGAGGTTTTGGCCTACTATACCACGCTCGCGCTGGCCAGACGGGTTGGTATAGGGTTTGTTTCAAGCCGACAGCTTGCTACAAAGCTGGTCGGCGCTGCGTCTGCAATTGGTCGACTATTTCCCAAATCTAGGTGGACCCAGCGTGGCTACAAGACGGTTGTACACGGGGGTTGTCCGGTCAATGGCACTATATGGTGCACCGGTGTGGGCTCAGAGGATATTGGCGATTAGAGTCATACGCGGTTACCGCACCGTTTCGACGGAAGCGGCGTGCGCATTGGCCGGAACACTCCCAGAAGTGCTCGCCGAAATACATCGGCGGACGGCTGAGTTCCAGGTGGATAGCATAGCATAACGTCGCCTAAATGGATAATGTACCCGAAGGTGGTGCCCGTGCCGTTGCGGGCAGGCGCTGGGAGGGGTCCGGATGTCTTAATAACAGCAGTTGCCGGATCCCTCCTATTACAGGCGCAGAGTGTCACCGTGTGGTTTTAGTCGGTCCGATTCCGACACACTACTCCTTCGCAAACCCCGGTGGGGTGACGGCCTAAGCGGGTTTCCACAAGTAAAAAAAAAAGGATTTGTTTCAAGATTTCCTTCTCTTTGCAGTGCTGTTGTCCTGCGTAGATATTTCCCTTAGTAGGCGGCTCTTACGATACCCACGGGATGTATAGGGGTGGGACACTCCGTATTTTTAAACCGTCACCACACGGAAATATGGAGATGGGAAACTTAGTCCAATAGATATAAAGTTTCTACATATACACAGATTGTTTTTGCTACGAGCCTTTTGACCAAACTAGGTTGGGGTCGGCTTTAAGTCTTCTATGACACGGCTGAACTTCGATTATTCACGTGGATCCATCAGAGCCATCAGACCTCCACAACCCAAGTAACGAAGTTCTGTAGAAAGCCTGTAGTCGGACTTTTTAAGGATCCAACTATCTGTACAGATATTTGTATGACAACCGGGACCGACGGCTTAACGTGGTCTCCGAGGCACGGAGGGGTCTCAGTGTGTTATGGTCATGGGCAGCACCCATCCATAGACTGACCTGGCTAGGCTTGCTTAACTTTGCAGCGTGTTAACCTACCCGGTTCCCGCTTAGTCATGAGCCCTTCCCAATAGATTTTTTATTACTATTTAACTGTTCGGTGCAAAGGGACCCGTTAACGACTTAGCTCCATGGCATTGGCAGCTTTGCTACAACTTTCCCATATTTTTGTTTTCATTTTTCGCATAATTGAAATATGGTAATTGAGTGTACCCTTAATAACTATTTGATGCAACTGTAAAGGCCCAAAAAAAATTTTTTCATTTAGAATTGAATACAGTTGACATTAAAAAATACAACATTTAAATGTAAAATTAATATTCTAGCAAATTATAAATGGGTAACTATGCTTGCTATGATTGGTCATGAAGATATCACAATATAAATATGAATATAAATATCTACATGTTACAAGCTAAAGTTTTTTCTAATGGCTTGCGCTTTGCAGATTTGTAGACTACATAAAAAATACTAAAAGTTTTGTAATTAATAACAAAATTTAATTTCTAAATGTATGAACTGTAAGTATCATTGTTGATAGACTATTTTAGTTATTCATAAAGCAAATATTGAATGTTAGGTATTTGTTACAAAGATCTTTATATCCACCAATTTTGCTTTGTAACATGAATATATTTCAACCACAATGTGTTTTACAGGTACTACTCAGAACTAAACTTACCTTACTAATACTAGAAGTGACGTCATTGGCTGGTGGTACAGAACAAATGATCGTGCTCATCACACAATAACGTCCGTGTGGTGACGGATTAGGAATACGGAATGTCACCACCCCTATTCATCCCGTGGGTGTCGTAAGAGTCTACTAAGGGAACAAAATACGCAGGACAACAGCACTGCAAAGAGAAGGAAAACTTGAAACAAACCCTATACCAACCCGTATAGTAGGCAAAAACCTCCTTTCTAATTAGAGGCCTATGTCCA